GAGTGGAGCAACAGTTTTGTGTCTGGGCGGTGGACTGCCACACGCGCTCCCTCCCACGCGCTCCTCCCACGCGCGCTGTTGCCACGCTATGAGGAGCGTTGTTCCTTTCTTTATAATCTTTTAAGGGCCCGGCTCTCTGTCTGTCTGCAGTCGCGGCTTTTGTCCATTGCCGTTTGCCTTTGGCTTTTGTTCTGTTTTTGTAGTTCTCTGTTCGTGTCTCCGTTCTGGGTGGCCCTAGTCTGCGTCTGTCTCTGGTTTGTTCATCTTTCGCTGCTCGATTGCTGGCCAAACAAAGCACTTGAGCTTACAGACCTTCCCCCCAATCTTCTCTGCTGGTTTTTGGCTTCGATTCTGTTTCATTTTCCGAGCCATGGCAATAGTTCTCCTGATCCTTCATCAATGTAATTGCATTCGATTTGTCGTTGCTTGCGCTCCCAATCGAATGCATTGACAAATGCGAGTATTTCTAATCGAAATTCCCCCCAAAAACACATTCTGACTTCGACGATTGAATCCCTGTTGATGTGGAAGATTGTCAAGCGGCTGCAGTGACACAGTCTCTTGATTGAGGGGGCAGCACTTTAATTGCATCAAAAACGTTGTGCTTCAAGGACGGGCACGGACTTTTTGGTAGAACGAGTGCATCATCATAAATTACATTTAAATGCAATCATCATTTATGGCTGAGATGAGATTTTTCCCGACCCACACACACACACACACACACACCCTCCTTCTGCAGAGAAACTGCTGACAGATTGCAACATGCAACCAGAGAGATGGATAGAACGTTATGCTTTTTCCCACTGCTTTCCCTCCATGGCGTATGCGTAATATTTGACTAGATTTATGAAAATGCTACTTTTCCGGCAGAGCAGGGGCAGAGGCGTAGAAGCAGCAGAGGCAGAGATAGAGAGAGGAGCAACGGATGGGTAGAGGAAGAAAGCGGAGCGGAAGTGATATAAATACAGCATCATGCATGCGGAAAACCAGTGGAAAACTATGATTCTGTGAGAGTGTGTGTGTGTGTGTGTGTGTCAGAAACTTTTGCGATTATGATGAGGCGGCTTGTCGGGTTCTCGGTCTCGGTCTCGTTCTCAGCTCTGCATCTGACCTTGCATCTCTGTCGTTGGTGCGTTGCATGCAACATATGTATATTACGCAGAGAATCCTCTGCTCGTCGATGCACTCGAAGAGGCACACACACGCTGTAAGCCGCAACCCTTTTGCCACTAGTGACTGTTGCCTCTCATGCCACTGATTTATTTGAACTGTTCGCCCGCTTGGCCTCGTACATGAAATATTGATTCGTTTATGCCCTTTGCTCTGAGCTTTGGGGGCAGCACCTTCTCCACATTTGTCCTCAGGGCAGGCATTCCCCCCTACCCATACTTAAGCTCTGTTTAAGTCTGCACTGCTCTGGATGTCCTCCTGATGAATGGAGGACTTTTGGTAGCCTCCACTTTTTATCAAGCCTTGGGACAGACACAGACACTTTTGCCTTTCGCTTTCGCTTTGGTGGAGCCTCCCAAGGAAATGAGCATAAATCTTTGGCAAAAAGGATTGCAGGGAACCCCTAAAATGTTGGACCTGCTCTTTGGACCCAAAATCATTTGAATATAAACTTAATGTAGGAGTAAACTCTTTTCATTATTTACTGGGGTAAATGCAAAACATTTTGCAACGCACAAACTTTTCAAACAGGCTGTAAAATTTCCTCACTTCCTTTACAAATTTTCGTGTGTGGGGGGGGGGTCACATGTGCTCAACTTTTGCCCTTTTGCAGCCCGAATCAGAAGCAGCAGCAGGCAGCAGTTACTTATTTAAAGTTAAACAAAAGTGACATTATTATAAGGAATTATGATGCTGCTGTTCTTTATGTCGCCGGGGGCGGTGTGCCACATGGGGCGTATGCGTAATTCGTTAAATATCGTGAAAAAAAAAACTTAAAGAAAACGAGAGTAAACCATAGCAGAAGTTCATTCTGCAGCCAATTAATTGAGGGCTCATCAAATTAAATGTTTGCCAAGTATTTTCTTCGGGGCATTTCTTTCTTTTTTTTTGCTGCCAACTCCTTGGCCAATTAATTTACATGATACTCAAAACCGAAACTGAAAGAAAGCGAAGCTGAAGCCAAGACCCAAAAACATGTAACTGAAAGTTTGTCTTGGCCAAAAAGCCACAATGTGGATGGGGGAAACCACTCTGCCACAATGGACAATTACTGTCTCATCTGGTGGTATTCTCGCAGTTGTCGGCGGGACTCCAAGCGAGAGAGACTCTGCAACAGAGAGAAAGACTCCTGACACTGGCAGCTGGCAACTGGCAGCACGAAAAATTAATTAGCTGCCCAACTTATTTCGGGGTCTTCTGGCGACCCAGAAGTTCAACGCAGGCCGTGCGCTGCCTCAAGGCGAGCATTGAAAGTGGAATTGAGTGGGGCATAGGGATTCTGGATTGTGGATTGTTGACTGCGGATTGCTACGGCTATTGACTTTTGACACTGACATGCAGTGATGGGTATGACAGCAGCGCCCCAAAATAACCAGCAACAATACAACCGAATCGGCAGGCAGCCGCCATTTGGCGCCACAATTTATGTTCTGGTCGGGTCTGGTCTGGCAAAATCTGAGAGTAAATGTGTCAACAATTCGACTGGCAATTAAAGCCAGCGGCCATGCCACATAAATTCACTCACATTATGACCGCTGTGCCAGCATCGCAGATCTCGGGCACATGCTTCTAATTGTTGCAAGCTGTTAACCCTGCCCCCTGGCTACGCTTCCTGGCCCTGCCACTGGCATATCTTACTTGTAGCGTAGCAGTGGCAGTGGCATTCATAAATTGCAAGCTTTATGCATTGTCTTGCCTCTTTTATTGACACGACGACTTTTGTTTGCCTCTAGTGCCCTATCGCTGAAAGGCTTGCGAACGCAATTTTCTTAAAGGGAAATATGCACCACAAAAGAATGTTATTTCGACGAATGGACACCCATTAATCGGGGGAATATATTTCAAACCTTATAAAATGAAGCAAACAGAAAACATATGTACGAGAAAAACCTAGAAAATATACTTGAAAATACCTAATACCAAAAAACTACAACTACATGCTACATCAAATAAAATACATATTAGAAAGAAATAACAAAAAAAATATTAGAAGAAATTCAAGAAAATATCAGAATATATCCAAAAAATAACAATAAAATACTAATAAAGAAAAAATGCTAGAATAAATACAGGAAATAAATGCAAAAATCCTATTAGCGAACAGAAGAGCAGGAGAGAAAATACTCGACAAAATGAATTCCACAAATATACCAAAAAAATACTATAAAATATACCAGAGATCAACAAGAGAAAGTCTCGTTTTCTTCCTTTTAGCTGGGGTGCACTGAATCGTTAGATCTGCCTTCCAGTGTACCCTAGAATTTTCCAAGGTACCAAGGTATAATTAGAAAAGTTAGCTTTATACGAAACCACAATTCTGGTGACTATTGTGACGCTGCCTTTTTGCCTGTACAAATATTTCTGCAACCTTTTGTTCACTGTGGCAAGAAACCCAACCTACCCTTTTGGACTCACCCTCTCTCCCATTAAAGTTCTTTTAGTTCCTGTGCGCTCTTGAATGTAGTTGACTTTTATTTATTGTAACCCCATAAAAGAAGCGTGGCAGCAAACGAGACAGAGGAAAACTTCGAAAGTAACCCAAAAAGGAATCTTAAGCACAAAATGCAAAAATATGGCCAGTTCTACTGTTTGTTTCGCATTTGTTTAAGCACTTCGTGTGAATCTACTTGACTGTTTGTTTGCTCCGCTTCATGGTTGCTGGTTTTCCTTGTTTTCCCACACACATTTTCACTGGAAAATTCAAATTTTATTAGAGGTCCCCACAGTCTAGCACTCCTTTTACGACTCGAATAAAATAATTCTTGTTGGCTTTTGTGGCTCTCCATTTCCATTTGTATTTGTATTTCCATCTTCATTTCCATTCACATTTTATTGACAGCAACATATAGATTTATACAAGATGTGCTCTTTGTGGCTGTATCTCTCAGGTTATTATTCTCTGTGTGTGTTTGTGTGGTGTTGGAGGGAAAGAGCTCCCCAGTCGCTAGTTGTAGGGCCTTGAATTGCACTTCAGTGTTTGGCCACATAGATCATAAAAATGCTACAACAAATTTATGGCCAAGCGAAACCCCCGGAAAGTGAGAGCCAAAAGTTATACCAAAAGAATGACAAGGCAAAGATCTGTAAAGTTTTTTAAAGACACTTAACGGCGGATGGCTTACGCTCTTTGGCTGGAATTAATTGCAAAAGTTTTGCCAAAATCAGAGATGAGAGGGGAGTCGAGCAGAGAGGGGGCAGCGAATGCCTGACAGGGTGGCTGCTGCCTCTGAATATCAATTTAGAAAATAGTTTCAATTATTCATTAACTTTTGGGCAGCCAAAGCTCTTTCGCAATCTGAAGTCTGCTGTTGCCCACACAAATATTTTCTTTGCAAATTAAAAACGAAGCTATTTACACATTTCGATTGCAGTAGACGGCAGGTCCTTAAACTTATTTAAAATTTATTAGACTCCTGCTTGCCGTGTCCGTGTTGTCCCTGTGCCCATAATCTTTTGTTAACTTTTTGCTTTTGTTCTCTCGGTTCCACAATTATTCCTTGGCAGAGTTAGGACCCACATCAATCTTGAAGATTACCCACAGATACAATTTGCAGAACATTAAGCAGCAGCAGCAGGAGAAACAGCAGCAGCAGTGGTCTCCCAATGGAGAACTATGCAGAACCAGAACCATTAGGGACATTATGCTAATCGGATAAACCTTTTTCTGCCCGATTCTCTGGCACATAAATGAAATATAACTTTGGGCTCCCACAGGCAGCCGCAGCAGCAGCAGCAGATGTTAGATTGCAAGAAAGATAGTCAAAAAAATCTCTTTTGCTGGTCATTTGCCAAGTTCATTGACCAAAAGAAAATTAATTTCCACTCACCAAAAAGATGTCCAAAGAAAAAAAAACAAAAATCACTTTTAAGGCCTTGAAGGATTTCACTTCAGATTTTCAAACGTATCGAAGATTTATTTCAAACATTTCGAAACATTGTTTGTGCCCAGGAACTGCACTTGCCATCCATTTGTGGCATGTGGCAGTCAGTCAGTGGCGCATCTTTGCTGTCTCACACACACACACACACAAAACGCACGGGCGAAAAGCGAAATGAGTTTGCAAGTAACCGAAAAAACAACGAGAAAATTCCGAGAAAAGCGTGCGTGCGGCACAGCCATGGAAAACCAACTGAAAAACTGCGAAAAACTTATGCCGCGGCGTCAGCAGACGATTGTCGCTGTTGCCTTTCGGCTACCTAACAAGAGTGGGCAGGGGGTGGGGCACGGGAGGGGAGGCAATATCGTTGCTCAGAGTTTCCTGCGCGCCTGTCGAAAGTGTTGCCAGCTTTGTGGCGTCGGCGGCGGAGCCGATCAGCTGGTTTCGCTTCGTGCCGGCAAATGGTTTCCACAACAGAATGAAGCAACTGGTGCAGAACAGCATCCACACAGCACACAGGATCCACAGCATATGGCAGGCATAGCAACAGCTGGTCGCTGGACTTGTTGAAGGTGTAGCAGAAGCTGCAAAAAGAGAGCGCAGAAAGAAGAGAGATAACTTTCAGGGAGAGAGAGAGAGAGCAGAGAACAGAGAGAGAACATCTGTGCAGAACTGTCTTTTGCCTTTACAAAGACATTTGCTGTGGATCCCGTTCAAAACGGATTCTTATGAATGAAAAAACCCTTAAGGAAATCCCACTGGTTTGGTTTGAGGTCTTCACTGGTCTAAGCGCGCCAAAAAGTTGTCTGTCTGCCACTTGCCCCATATTTTGGAGTCTATTTATGCCAGAGCAACTTTTTTTGCTGGTCAAATTTATGGTAGAACCCCCCACCATATGGCAGCTTAACCTTTTTTTTTTGAGGGGGGGAAGCGTACATATGGGCAATAAATCATCCAATGATAACCCAACTTTCCTCACTTTCCCTCCTTTTTTTTTTGTTGTTGTTGTTGTTTATTTAAGCCAACTACAACGGAATTTTAATAGACCCTCCCTGTTCGCTTTTCTTTTTTTTGGGTGTTGGGTGGGTGGTTGGGTGGTAAATGTATCTAAAAGTACCCGTTCGAGTGGTCGTAAAACTCGTATCTTTTGTTGAGGGATTTGAATTTATTTATTTTGTCTTTATTTTTGTGCATTTTTCAAGTGCTAAATTTTCGGAGATTTATGAGTGAGTGTGCGGAAGAGTGGGATAGAGATAGAGCGGCTTCAAATGAGGATTTATTTGTGGAAATTTATGTTTGCATTTCAATTCACTTTGTTCTACCATACCCATGGGCATAGCTTTTTGGAGCATATGTTGATTAACTTAAGCTACTATTTATGGCAGGATTTTCCTCACTTTTTTCAGAGATTTTCACACACAAAAACGTGGCTAAGATTGATGGACAAGAAAAATTCCCAAAAAGATTCAAGTAAAAGTTAATTTATGCCGCAAAACTAAAGGAAAACTAAATAAAGGATGGCAGCAAAATCTTATTTAAATGACCTTAATGACCATTAAAATTTTATCCAGCTCTTTTAAAACCTTTTTGATATTTAAGGATATATTTTTAATTATTTCCCCTTAAAAACCAAGAAAATACTTAAGATTCTTTTTTTTTTAATTTTGAAAGGAAAAAAGTATGCAAATTATTCCACAAATCAAAGTTTAATTAGTTAAATTTTTGTGACATTTCCCATTAACACAAATGGAAAAATTATACACAAAAAAATGGTTGAAAAATCAAAACTAAAGGCACCACATTTAAGCCACTTTTTGCATATAGTATCTGTTGTTTGACGTGCCCCAGCAGGAGGCACAACCAAAAATTCCACCAATCGCAAAGGAAAAAAAACCATAATCTCTCTTCTCCTACCCCCGCCCTCAAAAATATCATCCTTCAATTTATGTCACATTTCGTACAAAAAAATCTGACATTTCAATCTCACACTTGTTCAGCAGTGCGGGAGGAGCCCTCAATTATGTGCCTCTAAGTGCCGTTAAAGCCAAATCAATAATATTTCCCTCTTCCGCAGGAGCCAACGCAGCGGCAGCGGCAGCAACGTGCTGAGAATGAGGAATGAAAGGCATGGAGAATGTTGACAATGTGGAAATTCCTGTGGAATGAGGAGGCAAACCCAACACCCCCATTAGAGATGCATGGTATACGCCTCCGCCCATCCTCCTCGTCCTACCCATGAATCCCACCCGAGGCATCCTCCCACTCCTGCTGTCACACATAAGCTCATATCCTTGTAGCTCCATGAATTTTGAAATGACATTCAATAAGCATTCGTACACTCGAGAGATGTTCAATTATTTTTCAATTGCATCGATTTGCCGGCGGAAAATACCAGTATTTTCCAGCCTAACAAAAGGGAAAATTTGATTATCCCCGTGACCTAGGGAAAATGCAAAATTGGGGATTGGAAGATTTTCTTTTGTTTGCACGTGACCCATTGAAAAATAAGCCCGAAAGACGGAAGACGGACGGAAAACGGAAGTCGTTTGGCAGTCACTTTGGTGGCTGTCTCTCTGTCTTTTTGCCAACCAAATGTTTTAGCCATTTTCCACACCCGCATGCCTCACGCTCCATGCCACATGCCACATATTGTGTTGCTGGTGGGTGTGTATCCATCTGTCAGACGGTTAGCTACTTTGCATTAAAGCTGCCCCAGAGCGAAGCAGCATCGAGAACTACAATATCCTATCCGATGGCTGTCCAGCCATAAGGCTCCGTCCGACTCTCAATGGAGATGCGTGTTAGCGCGGGTAATGGCCAAGAGTTTGGGGACACGGAGCCGGAAATGCTGGCAGGGGGAAATGGCCAAACGGGTGTGTGTGTGTGTGTGTGTGTGTGTGTGTGTTTGTGGGGGTGGGTTAGGAAATGCTGACTTGACAGCGGACACAGCCCCAAAAAGCGTAGCACAGACAGGCCCCAGGAGCGCTATAATCTCTAACCAATTCACATGGAAATGGAAGCGAAATGTGGTGGAATGAGAGGTGTTTCAGCACTTAGACGTTGGATAGGAGCCAGCAGTATTTTTTACTTAGAAATCCATTAGTAGCTTCAAAGACTTTAAAGAGTCTCAAAGTGCAAACTATTTTCATTTCCAAAGACTCTCTCTCTCTCTGCCCATCCACTGCCGTTTTGTTAACAAATTTATTTGCACAACAAATTTCATGGTAACATTTGGTATTTTCCACAGCTCTCCTATTCCAATTCCTATTGCTATTCGATTAACCAGAAAAGTGCTTCGAATGTTTTGTTCAGCTTTCGAGCACACAATAGAAATCAAAGCATTCTCTGAAATGTTGCCATTCTGCCATTCCCCTGCTGTCAAAACCCATTTCAAGTGGGCGCCAAAGTGTAGTGTCGTCCCTACTGCCACCTAACTTAACCGTGGGATAAACATCCCCTACATCTAACCTACGGATAAACTTGAAAACATTCCCTACAGTGTTCCCTCCTAGAGGGGAGAGGAGTAGTGAGGCTGACAGCCTACGTTTTTTGACAGTACCCAGTCCCACAGTCAGACTTCTTTGAGGAGATTGTTGGGAAAGAGAGAGAATACTCTCTCTTGCTGCTGCTGCGTGCTGCTGCTGTCAATCTCTCGTGTGGATTGAAGTTGATTTAGCCACAGGGATAAGGCCTCAAAAGTGTACCAAATGTCAGATTGAGTAGCTTTAGGACATCATGTCGGAGGAAATGTTGCACAAGATGTGGTAAATATTTGCACTTAAATTGCGTTTTCTGACGCTGTTTAAGGTGTGTTACTTTCCTATAATATTGATGGGAATGATGATTTAAGAGCTTTGAGAAGAAAAAGAGGTCCCCAAATGGACTTCCCTTTCACCCTCTAAATGCTGCCTTATGCTCCTGCCCAAAGTGCAGGAAAAACTAAAAATTTCACTTGTTTCTCTAACCAAGTCGTGGCCTTGGCTTCTGGCATTAATTTAATTATGGTACGTGTTTTTTTTTTTGGCGGTGCTGCTGCTGGAAAGAAAATCCTCTCCAGCGGAAAATCATTTGTCATGGTTTATCCTGTGTGGCTGCTGCTGCTGCTTGCACTGTCATCTGCTGTCAGATGCTCCTTTGACGTCCTTGACGTTCTACGTTTGCTTGCAACTTTTTGTTTTCCCCGTTTCTGGCAGAAAACACACACAGAGAAGCAGAAAGAGGCTGAGTGTCGTGTCTGCGGTTTTTGCAAACGCTTTTCTTGTTACAAAATTTATTTGTAATTTTATTTTATTCATCCGCTTTTGTCACATCAAAGAGCAGGCAGCCAGCCAACGATGCAAAGCCTTTGGGGGAAAACACTTTCCTTTTTGGGGTATTTGCTTAAAGAAGTTTCTCATTTCATTTCAATATTGTTCGCTCTTTGTGATCATTGAACTCTGTGGAAAAAGGTATTTAAAGGTGATTTGACTTGACAAATGAAATTTCAATTATTTGTTGTCATTGAACTCGTCAGGAAAAAGAAGAGTATTTATAAGTGAAAGATACTTTTCCAATTATAGGAATAATTTTTAGCATTTTGTATCTTTCATTTACTTTGTGTCTGTTTCCCTTTGTGTTTATTGAACTTTAAAATAAGTTTAAATTATTAATATTTAATTTACTCGAATTTCGTGTTTATTGAACTCTGAAGACAAAATAAAGAGTGTCGTTTCTTGAATTATTTCACATTTTAATTCAATCAAAAAGTTATAAAGTTCTTCTCGAAACTCGAAATAATATTCCTCCCTCCAGCCCTTTTTTTTGCTGGAGACCTAATTAATCAAAATATATTTTTTTTTCGTTTTTGCTTTTATTTATTTCCCTTTTTTCTGTACTTTTTTAGCAGCTGCAATCGAAATATATTTCTTATTTTTTTTTTCATTATATTTTCTGCTGTTTTGACCGTTTTTCTTTTTTTTTCTCCTCTTTTATTTCTGCCTATGATGAAAACTTTTTTGAGCTCTTTTCCGACGGCCAAGCCCACGCAGTTCTGTGTTTGTAAATCAAGCGAGAGACAAGTTTATCGTCGATTTTGTTGCTGGTGTGACAGCAGCAGCAGCAGCAGCTGCTTCCAGTCCCAGCGCTAGTCAGACAGTTCACAATTGGGGAGGGGGTAGGGGCAGGGGTTATATCTATGAGTCCCCCTGGTACTTTTGGGGCATAAAGGGTTTATTGTATTCGTGCAATGCATGTTACAGTCGAAAAGGTGATGATCTTTTTTTAGAATAATATTAAAACTCTGGGCATAATGGATCTCTAGAGGCTCCAAAAAATAATCACTTTCAGAATATTCGTAACTTTTTGAACAACTCTTGTGTTGGAATGGCGGGTATCCCATAGTCGAACTCTCAAATTTATCAACCAAAATATCTACTTTTAGCAGGTGATATTTATTTTTGGAGCAGCAAAATTTAGCACTCCCCGTACTCCCAGTTGTGTCTGGCCACTTGGGAGAGACCTTTGGACCGCCAAGCCCCATCCTCAATGAATGCGAAAAATGCGTTGCAATATCGTAGCCCAGATGCGGGAGTGGGGCGTAATGAACACGCCACGAAGCCATAAAAGGAACCCAAAGGGCAAAGGTTGGTTGCACAAATAGTGCGAAAGAGAGAGGGAGAGGGAGAGGGAGAGGGAGAGAGAGAGACAAGAGCTGCTGATTAATTGATTTCTTTTTTTTTTATTGAGAAACAACTCTTTCGACGCCTTTCGGCTGTTTCCGCAATGTGGATGGAGGCATGGTGAGAGCTGCTCCTCCCCAGACAGAGGCCGTGTCCGGGTCGTGCAATTTATCAGCCCACTTCCCAATTAGTGAAAGCGTAAAAGTTGAACAGAGTCGACACAGGAGTCGACTCGCATCTCCGGGGCAATGGTGGAGATTGCAAAGGAGGAAGGAATGAATGGTTGAAGTAAATGGCGGAGGAAGTAAGTTTTCATTCCGGGAAAACGATATGGAAATGGAGCCATGTAATCAAAGAAACCGCCAGTGAGTGCGGAGTACTCGCTGCAGAGCAGGCAGATCAGGCATCCACTGATAGGGCAACCAATTAGCTTTATTAATTTCAGTGTTTTTCGCCTGCTGCGGTGGCAAGTAGAGGAAATTAAGGAAATATAAGAGATCTTTCAAGGGAAAAGAGGAGATGGACCAGCTATGCTCAAGGTGAGACTCTTTCTAGAGGACCGGTCCACTGGAATAGATTTTTTTGTAATTATATGATAAGGCAACGATCTATGAAGATCTATAAGCAATGTCTAAGGAACTGTTTCTTAGCGAATTCTGCATCATTTGGATCCCGATACAGATACAGACGCAGATATTCAGATATCATTAATTTATTCATTCATTCAATTAATCTGCAATCACTTATAACTTATTTTTAAATATTTTTTAAATTTATTTTATTTATTTTATTTCTTCTTTCTATAAAAAATTCTCTTCCCTTTTAACTTAAAACTTTAAGCATTTAAATGCCTTTGCCTATGCGAATTACTGACTCAAGCTAATTACATGCTCACGAGCATTGACCTTCACGCGTACGAGTGTCATATTCCATGGTCAATCGAAGCGAAGCTTTAGCTTAATCCAAACTGTAACTGAAACTGAAACAACGGTTGAATGAACTACAGGCCCCGAACACAAAGCAATTGGAAAGGCAAATAGAAATACGAGTATTGCTTGGATATTTATTTACTTAGCTGCTCTCTCCCTCTCCATCCCTCCCTTTCTCTCTGTGTGTTGAAGAGCAATGAAATGTTTATTTGCTTAACTTAGATAACAACAGCGACCAAAAGTCGTTTAGTTTATTTACAAAAACAAACTGCATTCAAGAGGCAAAAAAAAAAGGACTCTAAACCAGTCTCCTTCTCGTGCGATTCTCTCGGCTGCAAACTACAAGTGCCAGTGGATTTTCTCTCTATATTCATGGTGTGTGCTTACTGGTGTGTGTGTGTGTGTGTTTGTGTGCATGTGTGTGTGCATGTGTGGGTGTATCTGTGTGTATGTGTCAATCTATAGAGTGGCCACTACCAACTACCAACATCCCTGCATGAGACCCAATTGCTGTATGGCACCACAACCAACACGATTCTGCATATAATCAGGGAAATTGCTCTGCAATACACGCATCGTATTCCGTTTGTAATCGGGCACAGCATGGGTCACCAGCTGACACGTTTGACTCCGGTACACGGGCTTAAAATTCTCCTCCGCAAAGGTGGAATTTGTGTCCCAGCGATAGACCTCGGCGTCGCCTTCATTGCGGAAGAATATGGCCGAGCCATTGTCGGTGCCAATGATGACCATGCGAGTGGGTTTCTTGCCCAGATCTAAGCACAGGAATATCGGTATTATTAGAGGAATGTCAGATATACATATGTCTGTTAGGACTCACCCAAGATGCGTCCATCGGCAACGCCACTGCGTAGATACTCAGATTTTAGGGAGAACAGCTTGCTGGTGCTCAAGTACGTAAAGTACAGCTCTGTGGTGCCACAATCCCTGCGGATGAGCGCAATGTACAGGACATCCCTCGAGCGACAGCCGGCAGAGACAGCCTTGGGCAGCACCACACGGAAGCCGCGATCCGCCTGCAGATTGTACACGATAATGGCCCGATTGGCGGCATCACTGACGTACACAAAGCAGCCGCCGTCCGGTGCATAGTCCACCACCAGATACTGCAATCGGGAGCTGCTCGATGTGAGGCCCTCGAGGGAGACGGTTTTCAGCACTTTGCCGGTCTTCACGGACATGGCCACCACCTTGGGCGCACACTTCCGCACTGGCGTTTCGAGGGTGTTGACAATGCCCGTGTCCAGGACCCACAGCACCTCGTTTTGATCCACCACCAGATCGACCACCGACTGGAGCGCCTTGCAGTTGCCCTCCTCCTGCAGATCCCAGCAGGGATACGGCTTAAATGTCGTTGAGCAGGCGCCGGGCTTCACGCTCGTCTTGACCAGAGTGGCGGGCACACCCTTCCTGTAGCGTGGCAGCGCCAAAAAGATGGTGTCCCCAATCAGCTGTGCCCGTGTGGCAATCACATTCTTGGAGACGAACTTGCCCGAGCTCTTGAACAGCGACTTGGTGCTGGCGCAGGGGAACTCAAACTGTCCGCCCGTCCACTGGATGGGCTGGGCATCGGAATGGGCACGATCCGGTGTCCACAGGCCATACTTTGTGCCCTGCGATTGGCACAGATCTGCGCCAAAAAGGACGAGGACTAACACTACGGAGAGCCAAGGCAGTCTCAGCTTGAATGCCATTCTGTGTGATGCTCGGGCTGGGGCTGCGGCTGGGGCTGGGGCTATTGGTGCTGCAGACTGTTGCAGACGACGTGCGCGACTGTGCTCTCAGACACCATTAAGTGGCGTGCTTTTATAACCACAGTTCGAACCAGAAACGGGCTACGGCAGGCCAATGTGCAACGTGCTTTGCCACCGATTCTCAATTTCCATACTAACAAAAAACATTGCAGAACCTTGGCCAAAAGTTTGCTCAATGCGAAAGTGGCAAAGCGATGCTGTTGATTGTGATGGAAATAATTGAAATAGTTTACGCGCAGCAATCGCAGAAATTGGCTCCCTCCTTGCTTCCATTCAAGCGACAAGTAATGTCCCTCAAGGAGGATGTGGTGCCTTCCCTGCTGTGCTACTGGGCAGGGCTGTCGGGCGGGCAGCCAATGAAGTGATTGCAATTACTGTTTGATGGCCCCGGGAAAGCCTCACAAGTGTCCATCGGCCATCGGTCGTCTGTCTCCTGATTGCCGGCGGTATTTTTAGCTAATTGATTATGTGCACAATGCGCAATCTTTGGCCAAATGACCCTCAGATGCTGTGATTTAACGAGCTGTAATTTTCCAAGCCGCAGGATGACTGCACGCCTGTCGATTGTCGAGTGGTGTGTGTATGTGTGTGTGTGTGGATTGGAGTGGAGCTCCTTGCCACGTAATTACCCCTTGAATAGGGTTTAAGCTCTCTGTCTATGTCCCATTCAACCATTCATCCATTCAACCCGGAATCATGCCATGCCCCACACAGACATGCATGCCCATGGCTCCAACGTGTTTGGCATGTCAAATTGTCAGCCAAAGACCCGCATTCCCCCACAATAGCTCAATGATTTATATGCCACCAGCAGCAGCAGCAAAGAGCAAGCAGTCAGCCCCCACCCCAGATGGCACCACAAGAAAAGAAAAAAAAAAAAAAAAAAAAAAAAGAATTGATGCCAAGCATTTCCGGGATGGTCGCTCATCTGACACATAATTTATGTAAACCCCCACCCAACAAATGGGTGGAAGTTTTTGGGTGATAAGAGATAGCCTCTACCACTGACCCCCATTAGCCAGCAGCCAACAGCCACCCTACCAATTTCCACCTTTAGGCCACATTTTCCACACACACACACACACACACACACATTACTTGACAGGTCTTTTTATTGCCGGCTAAACGAGGCGAATGCGTCATGAGAGTGGGAGTGGGAGAGCGGCAGAGCCGGAGTGGGAGCTGGGAGCAAGCGGGAGCGGGATTTATGCAAACGCCAACAAAATGCTTCTTTAAAACTCTCTTTCTCTTTCTTTCACTATCGCTCTCACTCTCAGTCGATGGATGAACTTTTTATATATGCCAATGCTCGTATAATTCAAATTGAATAAACGCAAATAAGCCAATAATTTGTCCGGCCATTGTTTTTTGTTGCCTCTGCCAGTGGCAAACCAAAAAAAAAAAATCGAGGAATAAAAATAAATAAAAAGAAAACAAAGAATAATTCTATCAGACTATGAGAATACCTCAGCTTTTGGGGAAATGTGCAAAGAATCCGCTTATAAGGAGCAGAAATAATACAACAAAAGCGGAAAAAATAAATACAAAAAACAATATACATAAATAGAAAAGATTTTGCATTACCTTACAATTGAAAATGAATCTGCTTTTGGTATTACACAAAAAATACACAATAAATAACCAAATTCCTTCCCTTCTCCGGGCACCAAGATTTGATAAAGGCAAATATATTAAAATTATAAATATAAGTAAGTTTCCTCAAGCGTATCTTCTGCCTGTCACGTACCTACACCTAAATACAACATACCCTTTGTACCAATCACAAGCCAGAGTACAGAGCCCCGACTAAAAAAGTACAACAAATGTTGTCTGTGGTCACGTTTGAATTTCTTTGGTAAATGGGCCGCGACATTTATTTAACTCAACGATTGCTTATGCAAAGTCAAGCGATTTATAAAATACGACCACACGAAAGTTTAAAAGATATTTAATGGGGGGTATATACGAATTAGAAGAAACTGGGAAAACTTTCATGAAGTTTTTAGCCAAAGTTCTGAGAAAGTCGATCGGCGGCTGGACCCTCATCAATCACAGAATATGTAGACGAGCGAACCGATTTAAAGTTTTAGTATACAGGGTATTAAAAAGCCATCAAATGTAGAGGGGTATTAATCCGCACATTCAATCCATTTTGTTTCACTCTGCTGCTTTCTCTGACACTCTTTGGTTTTTGCTGACTTCAGCTGAAAGTGGCCGTTACTTTGCCACTCAATTTGTCCCATAAATGGCCATAATTTATGCCCTTATCCAGTGCCACAGTGCCACAGTGCCTTTGCTTAATTGAAATTACTTTTATAGACATTTTGGTGGACTTGCGAGAGGGGGAGGTGTGTGTATATCGAACGTCTGTCCATCGTGAATCCATATTGAATACTTAGTGCTGCCGTGCTTGTGTATTTATGAGCTCAACAAATGCTCTGCTTTGCTCTCCAATGGCAGCATTTTAAACGTTCCATTTACGCATCTGCCAAATACAAAAAGTAGAATAACATTTTACGAGTGTATGCCCTGCCCTGCCCTGTCCTGCATTTTGGCTGCTGTCGCTTTGGATGTGGGAATACACTTTCCTCGAGGGGTATTATGCCCGATTCTAATCACACTTTATATTATTCTGATTATTTTCTGGGATTTTATTCTATATTCTATATACTCTACGAGTATATTCCAATATATATTCTATTCTATTCTATTTTATTCCTTTCTCTCTCTCTTTTCTCTATAGAGTATTTAACTTCTTGCTTTTCGTTTAATTTAACATTTTTTGTAATATGTATTTTTGATGTTATTTATATTGAAACGCATAAATATTTATCTACAGCTCAGGCTGAAGCTTCAGCACTCAGCTGATGGCATCGGTGGTCAGTGGGAAAGAGTGAGAGAGGGTCAGAAAGAGACAGACAGAGACTGTCCAACAGATTGGCAGACAATCCGCCCACATAGCCACACAAGTGTGCTGCAGTAGGATTGTGCGTCTGTCTGTGCCACAAATGATCATCTAAGGAAATAGAAGAGCAGAGGCAGAGGGCACAGATTGAGGCAGAGGCAGAGGGCACAGACTGAGGCAGGAGGCAGGAGGCAGTGGCAGTGGCAACTTATGGCAGTTTATTAAAACGAATTTCACACAAATTCAATCTGCATGTAATTTGAAATTATATACAGCATCCGAGACAGCATCTTACTCTTCTCTCCCTCTCTCTCTCTCTCTCTCTCTCTGTCTGTGTGTCTCTGTGTCTCCATCGATACGGAAGCTGAATCTTTGACCCCTCCGAAAAAGGGTTCAACATTTTTGTTATTCTTTCGTTTATGAAAATATTGACCTGCCGATGGACGACACTCTCTGGTTTTTTGTCGCAGATTAAATTTTTGTGTGCAAGATTTAATGGTGGGGGGGGCGGGCAGAGGGTCCATAATTCAATGCACGTGCTGGCGGCGGCGGCGGCGGCGGCGCACAGTGCCACTTCACTCCACGAGGCACAGACAAAGGCGAAGGATGAACAATGGGTGCCCTCCGGGCAGGAGGCGGAGGAGGAGGAGCCCTTTCCCGAATATGTCAACGCGTTTTATTTGCTATTATTTGATGCGTGGGCGGTTGGGTGTTGTTGCGAATGACCACGTATCTGCTTTACGGGGAGCGCAGGGTCATTGTGCCAGGAGAAATGGACACCTTTAATGGGTGCCACAATCCCAGGGTAGCATGCGAACCGATGCCAAAAAAGATATGCAAAAAAGATTTGGCTTTAGGGGGCAACCGGATTTGAACCGGGGACCTCTCGATCTGCAGTCGAATGCTCTACCCCTGAGCTATACCCCCAACTTGAAAACAGGCGACACTGAGATGTATTTCAAAACCGTATCTCAGACGAGAATTCGAGATAAAATGTATCTGAAAATAGCAGCGCAATGCAATCAATATCCGGCAGATTGTTTAGCAAAATTCTCCAAGGTGGAGTTGAATGCAACTGTGAATGCACAGGAGTGCAGAAGGATCTGATATCTGCTGACGCTAAGGGGGGGGAGGGGAGGGAGAAAGTTCGAGTATCTGTGCTACGTGCGTCAATGGGAATGATTTCTCAATCACTTGCAGCTCCATATTTTCGGTGTCTCTGTCTGTCTGTGTGTGTGTGTGTGTGCTTGAGCGTGGGTATTCATACATTTCCATTGATTCTGTTGCCACTTCATTGATTCCCCGTTGCCTGCTTTGATGCCGATTCTTGTGAAGTCTTATCACAGAACAAGCCTCAAACTTGCTCAACTGATAGCTGCAGCCACCCAACTGATAGCAGAGCTAGCAGTTGGGGGCACCCACCCAAACAGATGTTTTTGTCAGCTCTGAAAACCCAACAAGACATCGAAACTTTCTACTTGCAAAGGTGCAGGGCACACACACATACACACACACACAGAGAGAGTGGCAGCATTTTGGTATTGAACTTTGGCAATAGTTTCGACATGAACCCTGAACTTTAAAGAGTGAGAGAGAGACAGAGAGAGAGAGAGAGTAAAGAAGGGAGCGTGCAGTGCATAAATGATCGATGAATGGCCAGACAGAATCCAGCCTGAGCCACAGCCGCCACAATTTTGAACAATTTTAAATTTGAAACCAGCGCCAATGCTCTTCCGCATTGCATAGAAACAGAGCCATAAAAGAGAGCACAGAGTGTGTAGTGACAGAGGGGGTGTCCAATGGGGAGAGGGGGCGGGGTTGGTGCTGCTGGATGCATGTGTGGTCTATTCAATTTCCGGCGTATGAAGCGAGTCAGTCAGACGTGCAGACACATGTTTCCCCTCATGTTTACCAACCGGCCAAAACGGCCTTGCCACAGAACACGCACCAACACGCCGAACGATGCATGCAAATCGACAGCATTTATATTTAAAAGCAGAATGCAGCAGCCCCTCTTCACACAGACAGTTTTTCATCTTCATTCGTGGCTCGGCTCTCAAACTTGGCCCAAAAACGGCTTAAACGTGTTAACCGCTCCAATAGAAATGGCCTCTCAGCTGCTGCTCCTCCAACTGCTGGCGGTGGTGGTGGTGGTGTCCACTCTCCTCTGCTCATCGATGGTGCATGCCGGCTACAGTTCCACTGGTGGCGATGAGTCCTCCGGCAGCAGTGCCTCCAACTCGATTGGCACCAGCAAATGTGACAAGAATCCGCTGGCGGAGCTCACCTTTCAGCTGAGTGGCAGCAACCTGCACTGGCCCTGCGACTCCACCAAGAACATCTACGTGCAGTCCGGTCGCTATGTGCCCCGCAATGTGATTGTGACGAGAGCCCAGCTGCAAAGGGATTCGGCATTTGTGGCACTGCCACGCTACAAGCAGGGTGTGCCCTTCACGCTGGGGAAGGTGAATCTGAAGAAGGGCGAGTGCCTCACCAAAATTGCACCGTATCCGTGCTGGGCCATACAGGAGGAGGGCAACTGCCAGGCGCTGCAGTCCGTTGTGGATGTGGCTGTCGATCAGAATGTGAGTGCAATTAACTTTGACATTGTTCCATATCCAGTGGAGGCAGAAAGGTGACACTCTCTCTCTCGCTCATCCAAAAGTGCAATTTGTTTGCAATTAATTCTACATTGCCACGTTGACACTTTGCGCTCTTTGATGGCTTTAAAAAATGCGTATTTTCATGCATTTTTTTGGGTGGGAAAAAGAGAGAGAGAGAGGTACCACAGGGGTACCTAAGTTTCGCAGCAGAAGATATTACTTTGGCAAAGAATTTTCCCCTTTATTTCGCTTTGGATACATCCTGCTACCCAACCGCTGGCTCATTTGAAGGATAGTTACTTTTGGCTAGGGAGTGTAAGGGCCCTACAATACAGGGTACTTACGTAGTCTTAGCCACACCCCCACCCGTTAAATTCACAGTTTTTATTAACGCTTCTCTTCAGCATAAATTGCTTTTTTAATCAAATAAACGGGTCGACAAACACGAAAAGCTTCAAATAAAATTCATGTCTGGCAATCGGTGCCGAAAAAAAAATCCCCGAAAAGAAAGAAACGGAACGCAGCGAATGACAAGAGAGCTTGCCGCGATAAAAAAAAAAAATGGAACTGCAGTGTAAATGGAATATTATAAAAGGCCAAAAGGCCATCCCACGCTGGTGTCCCAAAAACTTTCAACTGCGAAGCGAAGCGCAACTGCAGCTGAAGCACCATGTAAATGCGATGCAGAAAAAGTTCTGGGAATTAATTTTTGAAGCGTTATGCCAGCACCAATTGCAGTGCCAGGGCCAGGGCCAGGGCCAAGCGCCTGCCATTTTGATTAGCCATTTGGCCAAAGCGCTCTTTTTGCGATTTCAATTAACAGCAATTTGCTATTGCTGCTGAAATTGTTGACAGCTTTAAATTTTCAGTGGTTTTTTTTTTTGCATATTTAAATATTAAATATTTAAATGACGAGAAGGAGCGGGAAAGAGTGTGATAGATTAAGGAATACCCTGTGCATTTCCAGGGATAAATTTCGATATATATCTATGCTGCTAGTTACTGCTTGAAATATAGTTAAATTGGATTAGTATATTTACGTACATGCGTAGAGCATCTTATTATAATTATATAATTATTATTATATATGTATGTATATATATTTATTATTATATAATTAAATATGTATATATATATATTATTATAATTATATAATATATTATAATCTGATGGCTGCCCTTTTCGTACTTCACTTCGTTCCCCTTGCACAGGGTATTCCCTCAGTGGATCTGTCGCTCCCAATGTAATTCCTCTACCCATTCAATTATTTTGCTCATTTAAATGCCATCCACAGAATTGCCAATTCGTTTATGCAAAACATTTCAATATTTATTTACACGAAAAGTCACAGCCAACAGCAACAACAACAACAACAACAAAATTGAACAATTGAAATTTGAGCTGTGTGTTGGCAGTTGCAGCAAACAGCAAACAGAAAAGAACAATAAAAATAAAAATAACTACAATTGAAATGTAAATAAGTACACTACGCAATAGCAATAACTACCAAACAATAGCAACAATTTTAAACCAATGAAATTCAATGTTTTCCCACCCCCCAGAGATATTATATGGGCTGATGAATGAATGCAATGGGCGATGGGCGAAGGGCGATGGCATTTCAATTAACATGCAAACATGAAATTAAGGAAATATTTTTGATGGCTTTACAGGGTCTGCTCTGGGCACTGGATGTGGGCATTGTCAATACGCTGGAGCAGCCGATTCGTCGCTGTGGCCCCAAAATAGTGGCCATCAATACGGCCAACCATAAGGTGGTGAAGAGCATCGATCTGAGCGATCTGGTGACCTCCGAGAGTCGATTGCAGTTCATCGTCGTGGACTATTCAAAGGATAACAAGCCATTTGTGTAAGTCTGTCTGTTCTTTATCTTTATCTTTATCTGTATCAATATCCACCCTATCCTGTATCATTGTGCAGCTACGTGGCCGATGCTGGTGCGCGCAGCATTCTCGTTTATGACATCACCGGTAACAAGTCCTATCGCATTGTCCTGCCAAAGGCGACGGCACCCACCAGCGATGTGCTGTATGTGGCACTGACCTCCAAGGCGGACGGCACCTCCACGCTCTTCTTCAGCTACCTGAGCTCCTCGCGCCTGTACTCGATCAAGGGCGAGTATTTGCGTGTGGGCCAGGGAGCGGGCTCCATCATTGATGTGGGACCCAAGCCCTACGGCAAGCAGGCAGTGCTCCTGGGTGCCGATGGCGGCACCTCGCTCTTCTTCCGCTACAAGGGCGAGAATGACATTTATCTGTGGGACTCGGAGACGTGCTTCAAGGCCTCCAATCTGCAGGAGGTGCAACGCGGCGGCGACTGCCGCCTCTCCACCCAAGTGCTGCCCGGACACAAGCGCTTCATGTGGGCGCTGGAGAGTAATTTTCATGACTTTATCTCGGATCGGACGGGCTGCAATGGCGCCTCCATTGTCCTGCATCCCGTGGTGAAGGAATGCGATGATTAATCAACGCGTTTAATGATTGATTGATTGATTGATTGATTGATTGATTGATTGATTAATTGATTGGATTGGATTGCTGCCGTTTATTTATGCTTAATGTTTGCTACTCTTAATGTTTTTTGTTGTTATTTGGGAGAGTAAATCTTTTGTTGTTTTGTTGCTCAACAAGTTCCCGCCTCGCAAACGAATTTCGTGAGACTGAAAATCATTCCAGTGGGGCACTGGGACTGCTTCATCGCTGCCCCCACGGCATCGCAATGATGGTATATCGAACAGTTGGCCAAATCGCCAACCATTCCCACGCGCTGACAGAAACCTCCGGTGGTCGAGGGTACTTCGGCGGGATCCATGGCGTCCCCTATCCGGCAAACCAATCGCTGGGCATCAAAGTACGCGCCCTCGGGGCACTGCTGGGTCTGCAGTGTTCCGTTGAGGCACAGGCAGTACTCACCGCTGGCCGTGGCGTCAGGACACGTGGAGATGGCAAAGTTCGTGCAGGATCTGCTTTGCTTTGCCTCCACAAGCATCCGCGAGGATATCGACCGCCTGGAAGGAGGCACACAGCTGTAACCGTTGAAGAAATAGCCCTCGGAGCAACGCATCAGCAGGGGGAAGAAGGTATCCGTGGCGGTGGCATCCTTCTGGCAGACATAATAGAAACGACTGTCCGCCGGCCAGGCGCCAGCCTCCCCGGCACGACTGCACGCGTACTGGGCCGCCGAGCACTGGTCGCTGTCCTTCGGCAGGGTGCAGCTGTCGGTGAGGGTGGAGTAGGCGGCTCCGTTCGCACACTGGCGCGGTGTGTCCACGTTCTGGGTGCTGCACTCGTGGTAGTTGCGGCAGTCGTAGGGATCTGGGAACATGCCCGGCTGCTGGCAGTAGAACTTGCCACGCACTGGGACGCGGCACTTGGCCTGCCAGGTGCAGCCAAAGGTGCCCTCGTCCGTGCAGTAGAAGCTGTGATCCGACTGGCACGTCATCATCGTTTGCGTCTCCCACTGGCCGTTGCCATCGTGCACGCAGTAGCCCAGGGTGGTGCAGTCCACGCAAATGAAGCCAGCCACACGCACATCCTGGCACGGATTGGTCGATGCTCTAGCGCCCACATCGAAGGGATGCACAGCCAAAGTGCTCACCCATCCTACAAGCAGCAAAAGTAATTGAAAAGTTGGCCTCATCTCGAAGACTGTGGTGGGGGATACGCTTGGCAAGGTCTTATATAGCGCCCAATCAAAGCACAGGCAGGAAGAATGTTTTGCACTTAATTAAAAAAAGATAAGCCTGGAGCAAACATTCTAATTTTCTTCATATCTCAGGGTTACACTTCGATGCTTTTTATTTATTGATAAATACAATCCAATCATCTCAGGCAACACAAAAAAATAATAAAAATTATACAAAAAGGCGCTCAGCATGTGCCGAGAACACAGGAGGATTGCTCGGGTCGGTAGTAGGTGCCATCGGGACACTGCATGTGCCGGAGGGTGCCGTTCAAGGCCGAGCAGTAATAGTACTTCCTGCAGTCATCCATGTCCGCAATGAGACCCACATGCTGGCAGCTGCTGGGCATCACCGAGAACTCACTGTCATTGGGATCCATGGGCGCCTCCGGCTGTGTTGGCATCTGGGGCAGCGTATTGCTGCTCGAGCGGCACACATAATCGACAAAGGTTTCGCCATCGTTGCAGCGATGCAGCGACGGATAGATGACGATCGTGTCGTTCAGATTCTGATTCACCGTCGACTTGCAAACGTAGAAGATGTTGGAATTGGTGGGCCATGCCGCCACGTAGCCCGCATGGGGACAGTGGTATTGGCTCTGCAGGCACACGGGATCCTGGAGCGTGAGGGTGCACTGGCCGGTGCTGGCATCGAAGGCCTTGTCGTTGCCACAGTCGACGGCGGCGGCCACCAGTGTGGCACCCACAAAGTAGCACATGTGATACTTCTGACAGTCGTACGGATCGGGAAAGATGCCTTGCGAGGTGCACTGAAAGTTGCCCTCGATGCCAAACGGATGGCAGGGTCCCGTGTCGTTGGTGCAGCTGCCCTGCCGGGCATTGCAGTAGTAGCCATTGGCCACATCACACGATTCCACGGGAATGTTCACCCAGCCGTTCGAGTGGCGGACGCAGGTTGCCAGCAGCTCGCACGACTCGCAGATGGGTCCGGGCGTCTGACGGCCCTCACAAGAGTTCGCCTCCCGTGGCTGAATGCGTCGTGTGGTCACCACGGTGGCAGCCATCAGCAGTGCCATAAAATTCAGCACGAGCTGCAAGAGGAAACGGGAAATCCAATTAGGAACGCTTTGGATAAAAGATTGAAATTTTTGAGATTTTTACCAGGCCCAAAAGGAATTTTCTGTGGAACATGATGACGTTTTCTTCTTGTTTCTTTTACGTGTGCTCCAGTGTCTAGCTCCTATGAGTCGCTCGGGTTGTCTGTGCAGATAGCGCCCCAAGTGGCAGCAATAAAAGAGGAACACTGAAATATCAGGTCTTAAGATAGCAGAGCAGAGGCGACTTCTTTATATCTGCGATTCGATGTGCGATGTGTGTTTTGTTTGCCTATCAACTTTCGAAAGTTAATAGAAGTCGGGCAAAGTACCAATCATAGCAGCAGCAGCAGCAGCAACAACAACAACAACAACAACGAAAACTGGAACTGGCATGCCGCAATGATGAGTAAATGATCCATATTTACACCAAAAACAAATGTGACAGCTTCTAAACTGAATCAGCCCATTCCTCGGTCGCGTGTGTGTGTGTTTGTCTGCCTAATGGGTAAATAATACTATAACTGGCCAAGAAGGGCTGAGTGAAAATGTGTGCATGCTAATATTTGTTTGAATTTCTACGAAAACACTTACACTGGCAATTACACGCCGAATTTCAAATTCGAATATTACCGCCAAACTTTCAACAGCACTGCCTAACCGATAGACAGCTATCGTGTGCACGCACCCTGTGAATGGCTGCTAGAGGTGGAAGAACTTCGATTGCATGTTTTTTCACACCTTTACAGGGTGACCTTCTGTATTTTTTGACGTTGAAATAATTTTATTTATATGTGAACGGAAAAACATCTATGCACTAATTAGTTTGTGATTTAGCTTAAGTATACTGGAAAGCTGAATTTTAACTCCATGAAAAAGGGTATACAAATGTCTATATGCTCTTAATTTCTGTTGACCTTGTCTGCTTAAAAAATCGGGAAATATGATATCCGATCATAGATAGAGAAGGATTAACCCATTGTCGAACAACAGGTGATAATTTTTTATATAAGCAGCATTGTTCTGCAACTTTGGCACGAAATGGGCAACCAATCTGAATACCTTGGGAATTATGGGATATTCTGGGCTTAAGATATTGTTTGTAATTTCAGGCTCCAATTAATGCAGAACTACTCAGTCTCTGTTTTAAAGATACTAATGAAATTTTGCAGCTCACGGGTTCCAATAATAGGTAGGTATCAGAACCGGGATAAATGTATTTAGAAAACACAAAACATATGCATTAATAAGGGAAAAAAACATGTCAATCTAGGATCAAATCATTATTAATGTTTCAATGGAGCTTGGAACAAAAAATTGAATACAACAAATAAGGTATACACAAGTACATACGCATAGAAGAAACTTGGTTGACCAGCAACAATGACGTCACATTTAGTCAACATTTACGTTTTATGCTTTGGCCGTTTTTGTTTGAAAAAGAGTTCTGAAAACTAGCCAATTCTGAACAAAATTTATTGAGGAATTGGATAAAATTATTTTGTCAGGGCTGAGAGGGCCAACTAGCTAGTAATATTAAACGGAATATCAAATTCAAGGAATATCAACGTCTTGTCGTGTCCGTCAGTATATTCACGGTATATTTTTATAATGATATAAGGTATATTTCGGTATATTTGTGAGGAGCGTTCCACCAACTTTTTCGAATAAAAAAAAAAAACAAAAAAAATTGGCTTGAAAGCTAACGGAGTTTGTAAGATAATTGGCAACAATTAATCAATTATTTATACGGTAATCGCCGCCGCGACATCATTTGGTTTTGGGGGACAGCGGACAGCGCGCACCCCCAACAGTCGCTAAGGATACACACCACACCACACATCACATCCCACGTCGGCCCACGCGTCGCCCACGATCTGAGTCACAGGCAGCACAAAGGAGCATTCAGCAGGCACATTGCAGCACAGTGCAGCAGCAACAGAAGTCAAGTGGAGACAATGACTTCCAAGACAAAGACAAAGCCAGCGCCCAAGTATAGGAAGCCGGGCAATTTGGAATTTGTGCGCGAGGATGACTACGTGGAGTACTATATATTCCCGAAGATGCCCGAGAATCTCAAGGATGAGTTTCAGGTGAAGGAGAAACTGTTGCGCATCAAAACGGAGATCATGGAGATTGTCAGGGAGCTGGTCATCCAGCGGAGCTACATTTGGCACAAGGATGAGTTTCAGCTGCAAGTGCGAACCGGCACACCCATGGAGCGTATGCTGAACGATGAGACCAATGTGGCCGAAGACGACGAAGATGGTAGGACAAGGACGGGCACGGGGAACGGGGACCCATTGAGTTCTACATATAGCAAGCAAATATCAATCAGAATGTTCTTTCTCTGCAGGGGATCTGCCGCCACACTTGCACGGGGTGACCCACTACGGCGACAACATTGGCGACGAATGGTTCATTGTGTACCTTCTGTTGGAAATATCGCAGGCACGCGGTGAATACATTGCCCGGGTCTCCGACTCCGACGGTGAGTTCGTGCTCATCGAGGCGGCCGATGTGCTGCCCGACTGGGCCTCACCAGACACCTGCGAGCAGCGTGCCTACATAGTCAACGGTGCCCTCCAGCTGCTGCAGAACTCGGCCTCCACCAATCCGGACAAACCGATGCCCGTGCCCATCGCCCTGCAGCGCATTCGTCTCAATCCCACCCTCTATCGCTGCTCCACGGAAGTGCAGAACGTACTTAAGACACGGCTCAAGGAGTTCCTGATTGCCATGCCCCACTACTCGATTCATCGGCAGATCGTGGAGGTGTCGCACAGTGCGGCGCAGCTGCTGAAGACACGCCCCCAGCTGGTGGCATCGGCGGTGCGGGCGTTCTGCGATCGCGACAACGAGGACATCAAGGCATTGAGAACCATGAAGTTTTTCCCCCCGGAGGCAGCGCGTGTCCGCACAAATGTCCGATTCACCCGCTGTCTGTACGCGATGGTGATGCACAACCAGTACACGCCGGAGAGGCGCCTCGGCTGGAAGATCACCGACGAAGTCAGCCAGCCAGAGCTCTACAAGGAACAGATTCTGGGCGTCAAGTTGTCGTGTGGCCTGGAAATTCTCGCCACCCAAGCGCAGCGCGCAGCGGAACAAAAAGTTGAGGATCTGCCAGCGTGGCGAGCGTATCTGAGGAGTCTCGAGGGCAAGGGCTACTTTCGGGACCACATCGAGGGCAGTGCCGAGTACATTCGGCTGCTCTGCAAGGCCAAGGAGTTCTTCAAGGGGAATCAGGATCGTTTCCGCACCGCGAAGCGCGTGGGTGCCGAGGTTCTGGCGCTGATGCTGCACCCGTCCGATACGGCATCGGTGGCCCTGCGCGACGAGCAGAACAATCTGCTGCCCAGCGATAAGGATGATTGGCTCAGTATTACCGCCGACGATCTGGATGCCCTGCTCCAGGATCGCTACGGACCGAACAAACTCTACAAGCCAAATGGCGACATGGACGCCGAGGAATTCACCAAGCAGCTAAGCGATTTCCTCGATCAGCAGTCGAACTTTGAGGGCATCGAACACGGCGGCTACGGCGGCCTCGACCTGGACTCGGATGATGACGAACCGGCGCTGCGGCACCCAAGGGCATCCACGTCTCATGGATCGCAGCTCAGAAAGAATCAGTCGATGCGCAAGGCCTGCAACCGCAACTCTCTGATTCAATCGGAGGAGGCGGATAGCACACACGTGCGCAACTTCCTGGACTTTGTTATACCGGAGGACAACTGGGACTCCAACTCCGAGATGAGCGATTATGCGGATGACGACGATATCGAGCGCAATTTCGATGCACTGGCCAGCTCCAGCACCGGCTTCCCGCTGGATCGCAGCATCCAGGCGTACATGAAGAAAATGGACCGGGAATTGTCGCAGACCACCATTGGCAAGTCGTTCCAGGGCAAGAAAACAGCAGCCACCAAGGCAGACGAGGATGACTTCGATGACATTGAGGACTTTGAGCCCATCAATATAAACGTAAATACGCTGAAGAACATGATGGACAGCTACAAGTCGCAGGCGGGTGGCGCAGGACCGGTCTCCAATCTGCTCACTGCGATGGGTGTGGGCATGTCGGCGTCGGCAGCATCCCCACCACCAGCAGCAGCAGCAGCACCCGAAGACGAGGCCAATGATCTATCAGAGTCGGCCGTGTAAGCAAGGCCGGGAAGCATATAAAATGGAGAGCATACAGGATACAGGTATCTTTTATCATAATGTCGTTAAGCAAAATGAATTAAATATATGTATATTTTATGTGTGTGTATAATTGATCAAACATCAAACATTGAGGAGAACACTTAATATAGTTTTGATTGCTAATCCTTGGATGCAGGCACAAAGTTACCATAGTCGCGTCGAACCTTGATCGGGGGCTGATCCCTGCCCTGGGAGTCGTTGCGCGAAGGTCTTTGATCGAAGAAGCGCTTGTGGCCACCGCCACCATGGTGCTCATCCCCGCCGCCGCCACCACCACTGCGCTCATATCCCCCGCCGCCACCACCACCACCACCACTGCGCTCATATCCACCGCCGCCATCTCTGCTGCCGCCTCCTCCATGATGATGCTGGCCACGATCTCTGCGCTGATAGGGATCGTATCTGTTCCGATTCCGATTGTGATTGTCTACAAGGCCAAAAGGATATATAGCTACAAGAAACAACTTTTGTACTTGGACACATACCTCTGAATCCCCCCCTGTCATGGTTATTATGATGATATCCGCCTTCACGCCGCTGCCAGCCACGATCTCCGCCTCCTCTGCGATTGCCATTGTATCGATTGTTACCAGAGTATCCTCCGCCGCCGCCGCCACCACCGCCGCCTCCTCCTCCGCCACCGCTCATCCAGTTCTCGACAATTGGCGGCCCGGGCACTGGCTTGCTGCAGTGTGCCATAAACTCCTCATCGTCTTCTGTGTAGCGCGAGCCGAACTCCGCCTCGCATTCCTCCAGAAAGTGATCCTTTTCGGGCAGACGATTGATTTTCCGATTCGGATCGACCATATTTTAGTTGCTTCTAATTATAGTTTTCGAGCATTCGGATTAAATCAAATTTAATTTGTGTGTCGCTTGTTTGCTGTTTCTTGCCTTTGCTTTTCGGTATATTTCTAAGGCGAACTGTAGTATTTTATACGGTATATTTCGGAGGGTCCGAACAAGATGTATTTAGTAATAAGGTGACGACTATTTTACATGCCAACAGAAACAATTAGAGAGTGCCATCTCCTTCTAGCGTTGATCTCTCCCTCTCAATACATGTGTATATATTTTTTTTTTTTCATGCATATTTACAAACGGATCCTCGCAAGAGAGCAGATGCTGTGAAGACGTCACCTGACAAGTAAACTCTCCTTGGGACAGATGGTATATTTTATGTTGAAACGGTCACACTGGATTGCAGGTTGATTGCGGGCTGCGGGGGCGTTTTTATTAAGGAAAAAATGCAATTAATTAGTCAAATGCACATATCCAAATGCACCGACAGCCAGCAATAAGCAGTGTATCATGCCGCCGCATCGTGGCCACAGTCAAACGCAAAGAAATAGCAACGCACACAACCTGTTCGACAGCACGCGGGGGAGCAGCAGCAACAGCAGCAACAGCAGCAGCAGAAGCAGCAGGAGACGACTTCACTAGTCATGGAGCAATCGGTGTCCGCACGCTGGCTGCGACGATATCGCGCCTTCTTCATCATCCTACTCCTCATCATTGGCATCCAACTGTTTCTCGCCTACAAGTCCGTGGACATAGCCGGTGGCAGTGGCTCCGGCCTGGACGTAGATATCGCACAGCGCAAACAGCGTGATGTGGCCTCGGCTGCGGTGAGAGCAGAGCCGGCAGAGAGCCTGCCACGTCCTGCCAGGCTGACCGCCAATCAACTGGGCTTCCAGCCCGAATGTGATATCCAAGCCAAGGAAGCAATATCGGCGCTGCAGCGCGCCAAAACGAAAGACTGTCGCCAACATATCGCACACATCGCCTGCTCCATACAGGCCGGTCGCTTCTATGCCATCCAGCTGAAGAGCAGCTGCCCCTCGGGCAACCACACGGCCAATGTGTCCCTCGGCTGCTATCGGGACGAGAAGGATCGCCGCCTGCTCGGCGGCTACTACACAAGCTTCAAGAACTCCAATTCGCCCAATCTCTGCCTGGAGCTCTGTCTGCAGAGCGGCTATCCCTATGCCGGTGTGCAGTATGGTCGCGAGTGCTTCTGCGGCTTCGATACTCCGCCCAAGGCGGCCAAGCTGCCCGACTCCAGTTGCAACATCAAGTGTCTGGGCAATGCCAAGGAGATCTGCGGAGGCTTCTATGCGATGAACATCTACGAAACGGGCATTGCCAGTGAGTAAAATCTATTGATGATTGTATTTTTGCCCTAAAAAACCTAAACGGCGTAATCTCTTGCAGAATTTACCGCCCAACTGGCGGCGAGTACCCCACCGTCGGGCGGCAAGCGCGTGCGGATTGCATTTCTGCTGACGATCAATGGCAGGGCGCTGCGTCAGGTGCATCGACTGCTGAAAGCTCTCTATGCGCCCGAGCATGTCTACTACATACATGTGGACGAGGTGAGTCAATGACCGGATTCCAGCAATTAATTCTGCCAATTTGCGCAATTCAACGCTGGACATTTATTTGTTGTTGCTGCAGCTTGAAGGCTGCAGGCAGACTAGTTATGAAATTAATGGGAGGGGCCTCGTTGGGCTTTTCGTTTTAGCGACAAGATTATCTGTACCGCAAACTGCTAGAGCTGGAACAGAAGTTCCCCAACATCCGTTTGGCCCGCAGACGCTTCTCCACCATCTGGGGCGGTGCCTCGCTGCTGACCATGCTGCTGCAGTGCATGCAGGATCTGCTCAAGTCCAAATGGCAATGGGATTTCGTGATAAACCTAAGCGAGAGCGATTTCCCCGTTAAGACGCTGGACAAGCTGGTGGATTTCCTGAGCGCCAATCGAGGCAGGAACTTTGTGAAGGGCCACGGCCGTGAGACCCAAAAGTTCATCCAGAAGCAGGGCCTGGACAGGACCTTTGTGGAGTGTGACACGCACATGTGGAGGATCGGAGATCGGAAGCTGCCCGCCGGCATTCAGGTGGATGGCGGCAGTGATTGGGTGGCCCTCTCGCGTCCCTTTGTGGCCTATGTGACGCATCCCAAGCAGGAGGATGAGCTGCTGCAAGCGCTACTGAAGCTCTTCCGACACACGCTGCTACCGGCGGAATCGTTCTTCCACACGGTCCTGCGGAACACCCACCACTGCCACACGTATGTGGACAACAATCTGCATGTGACCAACTGGAAGCGCAAGCAGGGATGCAAGTGCCAGTACAAGCACGTGGTGGACTGGTGCGGCTGCAGCCCCAACGACTTTGTGCCCGACGACTGGCCCCGGCTGCTGGCCACGGAACAGAAATCTCTGTTCTTCGCCCGCAAATTCGAGCCGATCATCAACCAGGCGGTGCTCCTGCAGCTGGAAGAGTGGCTGTATGGGCCGTATACCAGCGAATATCTGAACCTCCATGGCTACTGGCAGTCCCTCTACCATCACGAGGATGTGCACGGATCTGCAGATGACCTCGCCAGAACCGTGGGCGATAGCCTCATGCGGCTGGCTGGCCATCAGGCCAGGGTCGATCCTCTGGAGTTGCTGGAGCTCACGCACTACCTCCATCGGGATCAGTACAAGGGATTCCTGGTGCGCTACAGTGCCCGGAGGGCCACCGGCCAGGATGTGCAATTGGAAACGCGAGTACGGCCCGTCCAGCACGGCAAGCTGGCGCGGAATGCTCGTTTCAGCAAGAGATTACGCAACTTTGAAGTCTCCACGGACTTTGACCAGAAGGAGCAGGTGGCCCGCAACTTTGGGAAGCTGTTGGGGCCACAGAGTGACTTGGTACTCAGCTACACGTATCAGGGATCGACGGACTCCGGCGCTGCCTCGCACTCGTACAACCTCACGCTGCTGTGGATCGATCCTCTGGGTCGGCTGCAGGACTTCAATGAGCTGCACGTGGAGGACTCGTCCACCGATGTAATCAATCACTCAAAAACCCTGCTCAGCCATCCCATCACACCTGGTGTATGGACAGCGAAGCTGATTGGACGCAGCTCCATCTACGCACAGCTCAAATTTCTCATTTCCCCCATGGCCTATGGGAGTGGTGAGCCCCTGGAGAGCGCCTCAGAGGCGGAGAAACGCAACGGTGGCCTGGGCATAGCCCTGCCGGATGAATTTGAGCTGCCAGTGGAGTGGCAGCAGCATCTACACACCGACGATGAGCAGTTCTCCCTGCGCGAGGAGGCCGTGGCCAATGGGAAACTCACCGGACAGACGCTGCACAGTTGGATTGACGGGCTGGTGGGTAAATTCTTTCAGCTCAGGGAGAGCTGTGTGGTGGATGCGGGCACAGAGCTGTCGCTGCCACAGTGCAGTGACTCCGCCTGGAGCTCGCTGGCCGCCGATCCCAAGAGCGATGTGGATGCCCTGCTCAAATGAGAGCAAGGCAGCAGCCACTACAGCTCTACTCTTATTAGGTCCATTGTATTGCCATTGATCCAATTTGTTATTAATTTTCTAGTGTAAATACCTCTTTGTGTCTCTCAAAGTGCAAGATTCCAACTCAAAGAATTACTCAATTTGTATGCTCAATGCACCAAACCAACCATTAGGGTTTTTTTCCGTAGTTTTTTCTTTGTGATACTCATAAATGTGTAAACTTGAAACTAATCGCCATCTTGACTCGGGATGCTGGACTGGGATCGGCATACCGAACCCATGCCAAGTGCAGATCCAGATCCTTATATTTTTTTTGTTTGTTTGTTTTTTTGTCGCTTTTTAGAGCATTTTGCAATATGTATTAAATAGCAATTAGATTAAGCTAAGAACGAAACGAAGGTCGCCGCCCTGCTTTGTGAATACGCGACAGCGCACTGGACAGACACTCTTCCCCACCCACTCCGTAGCGTAGGGAGCTTGCAGCCAAATATTCGAGTTATAAATAAGGTTAGCTAGATCAAATTGCGCAACTAAGTCATAAGATAGGGTCTTCAATATTAACTCTTTCGCTCTACTCAACTCTGTAAGCTCTGTGTGTATTCTTCATATAAAGTTTCTTCAATTTTTGATTCACATATCAATATGCAACGCCAACAAGTTATCCAAAATAAATGAGCAATTCTACATGTACTAAAGTGATCGGTCTGCTTCAACAATTTTCGTGACCAGAACTAGAACCAGCACGCTGGTTCAGTTCAGTTAAGGTCATCATAATCTATGTATATTCATCTTTTTTAGGGGGGTGGAATTCTGGACCGGACCTTGCTCCTTGCAGGTATTCTATGTGTTAAGTAGGTTTAGACTTAAATAGACTTAAAGCCAAGGCTATTTGTACTGCCGTTCGCTGCTGGGGCGCACATTAGATGCACAGATCCTCATCGGGATCCTCGTCGTCGAAATCATCGTCGGCATCGGGTGTGTAAATGATGTTGCCCTCGGCCGGCTCGCTGGTGCTGAAATGACAATGTTTAGTTGGATATTTAGCTAATACACAGATATGACGCCTCACCGTTCGTATGGCAATGTGAGAGCGTTACGCGCCACTACTTCATCCTCGTCAAGCTCTATTTTGAAGGTGCTGCTGGCCGGCTCTGCTGTCTGTTCAGCCTCCGGCGATGGCTGCTTGGGCGAACCAACTGCTGCTTGTCCGTCCAGAGGCGTCACATGAAACTCCGTTTTGGTCACCTGGCAGGCGTAGCGTTTGTTGGAGACCCCGCCGCCGGGCTTGCGCGATATCAGCGACATGAGGGTCTCCGTCTCCAGGCGGAGAATCAACTCGGCCAGATACTCGCAGCCGGCGAGTATGTACTGCGCATGGTGATGCTGCAAGTGCTGCGGCGAGGCCCAGAGGAACACGCGTCTCACGTGCTCCGAGCGACGCAGCCTGTTGATGAAGCTGAAGATGTACGCGGGTGTCTGGTAGCACAGCAGGTCGGCCAATGTGGGCAGTATCACATTGTATTCGGCCTTTGTGCTGGCCCCCATAACCGTGGCAGGAACGGATTTGAAATCCGCGGCTTCTCCAGACTGGTTGTTGTTGTTATTGTTGTTGTTGTTGTTGCCGCACTCATTCAGCAGCGCCTGGTAGCTGGACACGTGCCTCAGATTGCCAATTGGCAGCGTCTTGATAGTGCCCGCCTCCTGTCCCTGCTCGTGCAGCAAACTGTCAATGAACCTAAGGGCAATGCGCTCCCGATTTAGTTCATCTGCAACGAGGGAAACGGAAACGAATTGCGGCACTGCTTATGCACTTGGCACACCAAATTTCTTGGCTGGGACTCACCTATTATGAGGACCACCTTCTGTTTGGTCACCAGCAGGTTGGACAGCATTCTATGTGCATTTATTTATAACTATTTATGTGAGAACTGAGAAATCGTACAAAATTTGTACACTTTGCTTTGTTGTTGTTGTTGAAGACGTTAGCAACCAAGCGGCGTTAGTGTGTTTTGTTCGCTGCGGTATTTTATTGTGGCACGCTGCACGAAATACCAGAAGCCGTAGTTATCGCTATCGATGTAAGAACAATGAAAATATCCAAATGAATTAATGAAAGTTCTTTCATTACGAAAAACGCGCTATTTTCCCTGAGTTTCGGTATTTCCGAAGCTGGCGCGCACGGTCACACCAGCAGGCCAGTCAGAGCTTTCGCCAGAGTCGATACAATTTTTCCCGCTATTTTCTAAATGAGTGAGCAGCAGAAACCAAAAACGGCACTTGTGCGAGCATTTAGACCATGAGTGGACCGATTAGTAATTGGAGACCCTTAGAGAGTGAAAGCCGCCTGACCTTGCACTTGATTTGATAAAGTAAATAGTCGGTCAATGACTGCATGTTGTCTTGTAGGCGCTGCTGACGTCGCGAAATCTTGTTTTTGTTTGCTTTTTTGGCAGCATCTCGTGTTGTTTTGATTCTTTGTTTGTCGCGTGTGCGGTTGAGCAAAATTATTCTAAGTATAGTACATATTGGACGCTGACTAAGTTTGAACTGTAAGTATATATGTATGTATGTATATCTAGCCACGTTTAATTACCAAATGTACGAAAGTAGAACGTTGTCTTTCGGTATCTTCCAACAAGTGGTTTCGACGCGTAGCTGTGTGTGTGTGTGTGGTATTACTGTTAGACAGCGTTTGCGTGTGCGCCTGCATGAGTGTTGAATGTTTGAGCTTTCCAACAAAAGCTTTGTTGTTTTGCGGCTTGCAGCCAGAGCAGCAGCCAGAGCACCCTACGTGGAGAAGGGTGGGTGTAGGGTGCCGCCGCCCACGCAGCAGCCTTTGCAGACATTTTCACTGTTTTTCCTCCCATATGGCAGCGAACTGTCATTACAACGCAATTCGTTCAACAAGTAAAGAGTGTCGCAGCGGGAAAAATCGTATATATACCATTGTTCTCCGACAGCTAAAAATCTTTATAGAGTGCTAAAGATAAGAGGAGCTTTATATGATTCACACCAAAAGTATTATCTGAAAAGAGAAGAAAGTAATAAGCATACGCAAAATGTTGTTCTCTCTGGGTAAGTGCCCCCCATCAACACACATCAGACATCAGTCAGTGCCGTGCCCCACGGAGAGGGTGTATGTATTAGATGTATTTAAATCACATTATTATGCATAGAACATTATAGTCGGAGTCGCAATTGAAATGCAGCTCAGTGACGGACGAGGCATCAATAGAGTAAGAGGAATGCAAAAGGTCCCCCACCACCCACCTTCACCCCCTTTCGAACAGCCGTATCTGGTCTGGTGTGGCATACTAACCAGAGTTCTCCCACCGCACACTCATTTACCCACGCCCGCTCACTCTTTCGCCCTTTCATATCCATTGATATCCGCACTAGTGCAAACTAAACAATTAGCTACGCTTTAATAGCACCAGCCCAACACATTTTGCCAGGCAGTAAAAGCTCTTTTGGTGTATACTCTTTTAGAGTGGGTAGTACATAATATTACTATTAAACACAGAAGGATGCATCTCCGAGACTATAAAGTATGTTAAGAGGAGTTCAACTGATAGTCCAGCATCTGACACGAGTATAATTCGAAGCTTTGAAGCTTTCCCCACGAAACTTAGCCATTCTGTAGTATAAATGCATAGGTACAGGGCAGTCTGCCTGTAAATCGAATTTCAAGGGTATACAAACTTCGGCGCTCTGAAGTTTGTTTCCCTGCCATTTTTAAGCTCCGGCGGGCGGCGGTTGGAGAACTTTAAATTCACTTGCGCACTGCACGTTGAGGCGTTCGGTTGTATACTCGTATCGCATCGCATCGCATCGTATCGTAGGTCGTGTCGCTGATCCCAGTAGCGTAGTGCTGTAGTTCCGTTCCGCAGTAGCGTAGTTGTAGAGTTGCTGTAGTGTTGTGTCTTGTGGCAATTAACCGTTGGCGTTGCATGCCATTTGGTGAACTATTGATTAATCAGTGCCCCCCGAACCACAAACCTCCACACCTCCACACCAGCCCCCACAGCAGAGTCCACCAGCCATGTCAAAGGATTCGGACATAGAGCAGGCGGCGGTGCCCGCAAGCGAAACCAAAGTGGAGCCAGTAGCCGCCACGCCAGAGGAGCAGCTAACATCCTCCGGGACGACCACTGCAACGCCAGCCAGTACAGTGATCTCCGTGACGAATGGAGGAGGAGCAGCAGGAGGAGGAGAGAAGGCTGCCGCTGGGACCGAGAAGCCTCCCCAGCAGATGACTGCCGTGCAAGTGGCCGCTGTGGCAGCAACGGCTACAGTAGCAGCAGAACAAGTGCAGCCAGCAACAACCATTGGAGGCATTGAATTGGCAGCCAGCAAAGGTACAACAAACAGCAGACCAGCAGCAGGCCAGTCCGGACCAGACTAGAGTCAGGGGCAGACAGGTGCAGACAGTGAATGGCTTTGCGATTCGGCTGCAAGTTTGATTAGTGCAAAGTAAAATCAACAACCTGACAGTGCCACAGTCACTGCCACTGGCAGCAATAGCAGCAACCACAAGAGTTTAGTTTAGTAAAAGTTATAACAAAACGCATAGACAAACCAACACATAAAGATAGTGAGACAGAGAGAGAGAGAGAGAGAGAGAGACCGTTGAAAACTGCATTGCCATTGCCACACCTCCCCAACATGCGCCCGCCACGATCATCATCATGACGATGAGCACGACTCGACTTCAAGTTGAATTTCACTTTAGTTTTTCAACATACATACTCGTACATACATATACATATATATGTACATACATATACATAAATCTCTTTGCTTTTCTTTAACTCGCTTTATTTATTTTACTTTTGCCGTCTTCAACATATTTTTTGTACGCTTTTCCAAAGTCATCATCGGCGGAGGTTTTACTTTTCATCTTTTACGAGTACGGAGACTACGAGTATGTAGATTGTTTCTTTTAAATTTTGCGCACGATCTGTTGCAACGCTTTGCTGACCAGCCCAGACAGACGCCCTGGCACGCCCACTTAGCCGTCATAATTAACAATCATAATCATTAATTAACATGCCAATTAATTTCACTTCTGTCCGAAAGCCCAAAACCTCCCCACCTACCCCAAAAAGAAAAAAGCAACAAACTTAAATCTGGATCAACGTATTCAAATTTATTGGATAACTGGGGGACGATCTGCAACAACGTAATGTCTCTGCTGCAATTTACGGCAGCTTACATCTTGTTAGATTTTCCAGACTTTTGATTGAGTTGTCATTTGCATACGACAGAGTTCAACCAGCTGATAAAAGGCCTTTATCGAGGGCGACTGTACCCAAGATTGCGAGGTAGCATGTACATATGTAGGTACTTCAAGGTTAATTTGAAGTCGGAGGATACAATTCTGTTGGGTATATGTACTTTCAAATGCTTCACAGATGCTTCATTCCATTGAAGCACAATTCCAGTTGCCGAATTTCCCAAAAGTATTTTTAATTTATTTGCAAAATCTATAAAGATAAAAGACACTGGCACCACGATGCTTGATATCATTTCGTTTGGGGGGGGGAAGTTGCTGGCTGGAGGCTATCTCCCCAGAACATTCGCTCGTTCGTTCTTTACTCGTGATAACAGAAAGCAGACACAAATTTAGACTTCGATGGCATAAAATAATTGTTGAATAAACATTTATAAATGTTTACGGGAATCTTCTTGGAGAATTCAACCAGATGGGGTGGAGCATTGTAAGCGGAGAATGTTGTGGGAGTGGAACCGAGTGGTTCCAATAAATTTTTGTTTTTCTAATGTCTAGATCTCATTCGGGGTATTTTTTAATCATAATCTCAGATTACTGGCGACAAAGGAGGGGCATTGTTTTGTGTGTGTGTGTGTCAAGAATGCGGCTACTGATGATGCCCCAGATCGAATATCTGACTGGCTATCGGGGAAAGTGCCCTGTTCCATGGGGGGGTATTCCGCCAATTCCAAACCACTTGTGGGCTTTAATTATTGTTTATGGATTACGTAGTCCAAAGGCAGCGGACTTGTAATCAACCAATGTGGTTATCAGCACCAGTTTTTAGGTTTATTTTAATCACCTCACCTCCAGCCGCTCCCCAGCAGGCAGGTGTAAAGGTGCAAGGGAAGGGCAATATTTATGGCCACTTACGAAAATGTAGTACAATGCGAATATGGAATAGCTTTATGAAGCATAGCGAGGGGATAAATGGAATGGGTGTGCGTGTGCTTTTTCGTTTGTTTGTTCAATGATTAAGTCGCATAGGAGCGTGGCAAAGGAATGCGGGGGCATATGGTTAATGGGGTTCTTGAATTATATTTTTAAAAAATACTCCTTCTCTCACCCCACCCCCTCCCGGTCAAGGCGGCACCAAATCCAACATGGATCCGGCGTTGATCAACTTTAAGGTGCTGTACGTACTGACGCAGCTGTGCGGCCTGACAATGATCGTGCTGGTGGGCACCTGGATAGGCCAGCACTTTGGCGGACTGGGTGGCAGCTCTAATCCCAAGCTGGAGTTCAACTGGCATCCGCTGCTCATGACCATTGGCTTCATCTATCTGTATGGCAACTGTGAGTAGCGCTGAGAGCGGAAGAGGTGCAGACTGCGACTAAACTGCAATCCAATCCATTCCACTCCACTCCCATTGCAGCCATTCTGGTGTACCGCGGCTTCCGCACCACGCGCAAGAAGACCCTGAAGCTCACCCACGCCGGCATCCATATGGCCGCCTTCGTTCTGACAGTGATTGCCCTGAAGACGGTCTTCGATTCGCACAACCTGAACAGCCCGCCCATACCCAACCTGTACTCGCTGCACTCTTGGCTGGGCCTCTCCTCGGTGATCATCTTCGGGCTGCAGTACGTGGCCGGCTTCGTGGCATTCCTCGCTCCGGGCCTGCGGGAGAACTACAAGATTGCCATGATGCCGCTGCACATCTACTTTGGACTGTTTGGCTTCGTTCTGGCCATTGCGAGTGCCGTCATGGGCATCACCGAGAAGGCAATCTTTGCCATGTAAGTGGATCGCTCGTTCATACGATTGCACCCCTAGAATGTCTAATGTATTTTCCATATACCATCTGCAGTACTTCTCCACCGTACTCCACCTTGCCAACTGCTGGTGTCCTGGCCAATGTAATTGGCGTCCTGTATGTGGTATTTGGTGCTCTTGTCGTTTACCTGGCCACGGAGCCCTCGTACAGGCGCAAGCCCATGCCCGAGGACACGGCTCTGCTGAGCTCCAACGCTGGCAATGAGTAAGGCACTCAGCGATTGCGCGACCCCAAACCAGCAGCAGCAATGCTTATATTTACGCTCAAAACTGTGCACAAAACCCAAACGAAACGGAAACCTGATACCATGTGGTGCTCTGTTGAAGATTCATGCTTCATGTTTATTTTTGTTGAGATGTCTTGCATGTCTTACCCCATAGAATCTACCATACATATGTAATTGTATACCCAATGTGACTATGTGTAATGGAAAGCTATCCCACATACTTATACACAGATTACCAGTTGTGAAAAGGCGTACTGTACTGTACTGCACGTCTGCGAGTGCTCAAATCTTAACGTATTTAACCTTATATAGAAAGGACATTTGCTTGCATGTTATATATATATATATATATGTATATTCTAAATAAATCTATATTAATACTAAGTGAAAAGTTTAGGCTTAGGGAGCCTCGAAGTCGCTGCCCTCCTCCTCCTCCTCCACCGCCTCGATGTCCTCCAGGTAATCGCTCGAAATTGCCTGTCCAGCGCTGTGTGAGGACGTCTCATCGTTGTACTGAAACTCCAGGCGGTCATCGAGGTCCACCAGATATGTGGGATAGTTGCCCAGGCCCTTGAGCCAACTCTGTCCCCGATAGCTGCACCTGATGTTGAAGCGTCGCAGCACTTGGGCAGTGGCCTCGGCCACTTGGATAGCGCCCTGCAGTCCTGTGCTTGTCATCCGGGATGCCATGTTAACGGTGTTGCCCCAGATGTCGTAGTGTGGCTTCGAGAGGCCGACAACTCCAGCCATCACAGGCCCATGAGCGATGCCTTCAACGATGTGGGGAGACGACTGAGTTAAGAAATGCGGTGGAGGTGAAGGGCAGGACACATCTTACCGATTTTCAGGCACCCACGCGAGCTTTTCGGCAGATCGAGCTCGTAGAAGATGTCCTGCACCTGGATCTCGTTCATGATGCGCAACAGATTGACGGCGAATTCGGTCATGACCATAACGGCGTCGTCGGTTTCCTCCCTGAACAAGTGACTGCCGATGGTCCGTCGAGGCGTGGCCGTCTCTGAGGATTCGGCGCTACCGAAGCGTACGCTATCTGGGAAGAGCAGCTGTTGGATGAGCCTGCTGTGGTAAGAATGTACGGATGGGATAAGCTCACTTGATTTTCTGATCGGTCCCGATATACTCTCTTTTTTGACAGGAATATTGATGGCGAAGTCGGTGTAATGTTCCACCTCCAGGCCACAGGCAGCCATGTACGTCCAGCCCATCACCTTGATCTTCTCGATCTTGTATTTGCGGCCAAAGTTCACCAGCAGCTCGTCAAAGTAGCAGATGAACTCGTGCAGCACTCGGATGCCAGCCCGGTCAGCCTCGTAGTTCTCGATGCACGCAAACATTACGGCCACATTCTTGAAGTTCTCGTAGAAGAGCTCATCGTGGCGCCGTCGCTCAAGGAAGTTATCGGCCACATGCGAGGGCAACATGTTCACCATAATGATCTTGATGGACTTTGTTGTGTCCTCTGTCTTCTTGTGTTTCTGCTCGTAGCGCTCTCGGATGCTGCACAGAAGGGTAAGAGTTTCTATCAATTGGATTTACAGTGGATCGGATACTTACAAGAAGATCGCCTTGTTGATATAGGTGGAGTGACGCTGCTTGACCGAGATCGTTATAAAGTAGGCAACCACGTACCAGGTGTGGGCCAAATCCGGCTTCAGGTTCATATTTGTGGTCTCCGATCGCTCGAACGCGAACCCGTAGTGCGCTTGGATGATGAACAGGTGGCAGCTGAGGATGAGCAGACCCAGGGCCATCTTGAAGGACAGCGCCAGGGACCCGATGAATAACAGCAGGCTGAGCACAATGATCACCGAATGGGTAATTATCCAGGGAAGGAAGCACATCATCTGAGGATCCTCGTCGGCCAGATCCGATTCGATTAATTCAAACTCAAACTCGGCCCTGTTGCACTCGATCTGTAAAAGGGGAGTGCGATTAGCTTCGATACGAATGGGGAGGAGTATTGTATGCCGATGCCTACCACCGGGGTCGAGGAGATTGTGTAGATGAGAAGTATGACAAATACGTAGAGGGGTATGCCGACATATATCGACTGCTGTTCGATATGCTCCGACATGCGGATGAGCCAACGGTTCAGGAAGAAGGAGGGCTGCCTCATGGGCGTCAGAGCATGCACCTGCATCCACAACTTCTTATAGCCGCCGATCAGGCAGATGAGCGCAAGCACAAGCAGCATTGCAATCAGCTCAATGAACAGCGTCGACCTGCAAGTGCAGATGCGCATGGATTAGATGGGATCGAATCTCTGCAGCTAATTCTGCATACAAAGGCACTGCGATATTCATGGCGGTGACCACAATTGCGGCAATGAGCACAACGACCAGATTGTACTTCATCTGCAGGTCTGGCATTTTCATGTAGGCGCACTCACTGCTCGCGCTTCGAAAGTGCAGCAGACCGAAGGAGATCTGCGAATTGAACAGTTGATCCTCGCTGAGGTTCTCCCCGTTCCCTTGCGGTGCTCGGCAGATGTGGATGCGTCTACGGGAGGCATATTTAGTACAAAGCGAAGGGGATAAAGTGAAGGTGAAGGAAGAGTGGCCTCACTGTCCGACCGGCATGTTCTTCACCTCGTCCACCATGTTCTGCTGGGTCATCTTGGCAACCTCCTCGTAGATATTACTGAAGCTCATGCGGAACGAGGTCAGCGAGACAGCACTAATCCTCGGCTCTAGAGGGCCGAGCTCCACATAGTCGGGATTTCGACCGCTGACCAAGTACGTGGTGACCTCCGCCTTCTGCAGCACGGGGTCGTTCTTGGCCCTCTCGGTGCCCTCCGCGTAGACATATGCGTCGTTTAGCAGGCTGAGAGTGTGATTGGAGATGTGCACCTTGCCCGGCTCTCCACACATCTCAAGGCGGTTGGTGATATCCACGTCCTTCGACCAGATGTCGTACTGCCACTTGATGTGGCCAATGATGCCAGCGAACACCTCCCCCGAGTGCACTCCGACGCGCATGTCGATGTTCAGCTTCCGTTCCTCGCGCACCTCCTGGGTTATGCTGATCATGTCGAGGGCCTGGTCCACGCAGCAGCTGGCGTGGTCGGGATTGTATACGGGAATGCCGGAAACACAGTTGTAGGCGTCCCCGAGGAACTTGATGCGCAGAGCGTTGTTCCGCTTGGCGCGCATATCGTAGTTGACGAACAGCTCGTGCAGGATCTCGACCAGATTCCGCACATCCAATGTGTTGGTCAGGGTCGTGTAGTTCACCATGTCGGCGACCAGTATGGACACATCCGGATGGGGTTCCACGAAGAGTTTGCTACAGGCGGATCAACAGGGAAGGGAAGTATCAGCCGGAAGGGACGGGGGGACGGGGAAAGGACTGCTTAACGTACCGTAATTTCGGTATCTTTTTACCCTGCCGCTCATCCTCGATCCGACTGCAGATGTCCTCCTGCAGGGTGTGGGCCACCTTGGCCGGCATAATGGACTCCAGCAGGGCCTTCTCGTTCTTCATAACCACCTTGAGCACAATGCTCTCGTAGACCAACTGATGCCGATTGAGGATAATGCGTCGCACCCAGAATACCCGCATCGTGAAATAGAACGTCATAATGAGATTCTGGTACAAGAGATACATGGCATAGCACAGGAGGGTGGGGAACAGGAGAGGTGTCCCCTCGGCCACCCGCCAGTACGCGAAAGAAAAGTACACGGCGGAAACGGCCAGGCCCAGGATATAGGGCCTGCCATGCTCTAAGAACGCAATCGGCAGATAAAAGTAAACAGCGACCAGGACAATGTGATCGTAGCAGACCCTCAGAGGAGCGTAGCTGCCATGGGAAATTGTCACAATGTTGTCTGAGTGGAGGAAAAATATCATGAATCCAACCAAAAAACCGAATCAGTTGCCTACCCATAATCGTTAGCAGAAAAGCCATCACCCAGCTGGCTATCATGTTCCAGGTGAAGTAGTTCCTGAGGTTGTCCTTCAGGCAAACCATCATGACCAGTGGCGTCAGAATCATTACCATCAGGTAGGGAACCAACGCGAAGAAGCATACATCCTGAAATTAATATAATTTCGTCATTGCAGATCGGAGCAGAAGGCAGCCGCCTTACCCTGACCAGGGTCAGCAGCAATGTTATGTGAACGCCCATCAGAAGTTCTATGACCGCAATAAACTGAGCCGCATTGGTGGTGGTCAAACGTCTCATGTAGTGCCACACGCAGCCTTCCATTTCCAGTTCCCGACACTTATCCTGCAATTGACATTCGTGTGTAGAGTGCTGCAAATGGTCGCTCGGTAGGATCTACCTGCAAGTGCCTCCATTCTAAGGTCCGAAGGTTGCCCAGCGTGCGGCTGTCTCCCACATCTTCATTGTAACTCGGCTGTGGAGAACCCATTTCGATTGTGCCAATTAAATCAATGTAATTTTTGTCCTCTGACTTAGTCACAAATAGTTTGATTAAGGATATAGATGTTCGATAATAAAGTAGGCACGGCACGCCCAGATCGCCTTGCAAATAAAGCGTACAAAATAAAACAAAACAAACAAACAAAAATGAGAATTAGTTGTAGAGGGTCCTCGCTCAGGACAAAAAGGACATCGGGGGTGTGTATGTCTAGTCGCAAAGGACTAGGCGAACCAAAAATTGTCCCAATCGGACGAGAAATAGTGGAATTATAGATTTATAGCTATTTAACTGAAAAGTAACGCCAAAAAGCCAAATCCTTATTTTCCTTGAAGCTAAAGTGCTCGCAAACGATCAAGGACATTCTTCCGATTACGATGAAGCTGGGCGCTTCCAGATCGTACTTGAAATGGCGAAGTTATAGCGATTTAATTAAGAATCTATAGCTAAACAGCGCTAATAAGGTATATCCTTACAATCCTTGATGTCCTTGATGGGTTTAAGAGATGGGGGACATCCTGCCGACTACGAGGACTCATATCACGCTCTAATCGGATGAGAAATAGCTGAGTTATAGCTATTTAACTACAAATCGGCTTAAAAATAGCATTCACACTCAAGCGCTCCCACATTGAGCGGTGATTTCTCGAACTAATCTGATTTAGTTCCAGCAGTGGCCGTCGATGCTGGGGGCGCCACTGCGCAAAAAGACCTACAACAAAATTTTAGTTTTTCTGGCGCCCCCACATCAAGCGGTGATTTCTCGAACTAATCTCATTTAGTTCCAGCAGTGTCCGTCGATGTTCTGGGGGCGCCACTGGGCAACAAAAAAACCTACAACAACAACTTTTGTTGTACAACAATTTTGTTTTTGTTGTACAACAACTTTTTTTTTGTTGTACAACAATAACAAAAACAACATTTGTTGTACAACAACAACATGCCAGTTTTGTATTGTTGATGTCTTCTTTATTTGTGCGCCGATCGGGTCGTGCGACGGCTTCCTGTGATCGGAAAAACATCCTTGATTTGGCAGAGTCCTTTTCAAGGATCAAGGACCAAGGATATTTGCTCCAGACATCATAATCGTGTTATCGCCGTTATTTGTAGGCCGATCTGGGCGGGCCATGGCTTCCTTGAATCGGGGAAATATCCTTTATCGTTGGATAAGGACCTTTAAATCCCCAAGCATATATATTCAGTTTTCTCCGCTACCTATTGACCGATCTGGGCGTGGGACAGCTTCCTGTGATCGGAAAAAAGTCCCTCACATAAAGGAGGATCCTTATAAAGGATCAAGGATATTTTCCCCTGTAATATAAATACAATTTTTTTCCGATCTGGGCGTGCCATGGCTTCCTGTAATTGTAAAAATGTCCTTGCTTTGATGAAGTCCATGTCAAGGACTGATATCCTTCCCAAGTCAAAAATATTTTAATTTTCTTCCCCATTTTTGGGACGATATGGGCGTGCCTTGACTGTCTGTGATCGTAAAAATGTCCTTGATTTGATAGAAGGACTCTATCCAGGATCAAGGACGTGTTTCCCCAGTTGTACGTTAAAGTTTCTCCCGCATATTCTCAACTCAGCCTGAAACTATGCTATACTTTCTAAATAAATCTACATATTTACCGCCCAGCCTGAAAGTATGCCACAATATCGTAACGATATTCAAACAAAGTCTTTTTCATTTTCATTTGTGGGGGGAATATAATCGTAATTCTTTATTCAGGGCAATTATTATGAATTAGTTTGTTTTGTGCATTAATATGTAAGTAAGTGTTTATGTATATACATGTATGTACATGGAAATGGATGCTTAAAATCGAATATCTATTAAATTCAGCTAGTCTTCTTTGTGTTGGGGCTCGGGTCGATGGGGCAGGAACTCGTATTCGCTGTCGGTGCCAATGATGTAGGTGGGAATGTTGCCACGCCCCTTGACGAAGGTCATGCCCCGATAGTTGCACTGTATGTTGAACTCCCGCAGCTTGATGGCAGTGTTCTCGGTGACCTGGATCTGACCCGGCACCCCCGTGGAGTCCATGCGCGAGGCCATGTTCACCGGGTTGCCCCAGATGTCGTAGTGTGGCTTCGATATACCCACCACCCCGGCCATGGCCCGGCCGTGGGAGATGCCGATTCTCAGCATGCCGTAGTCGGTGCTCCCCTCGTACTCCGTCTGCATGTTCTCGGCATTGAAGCGGCGCATGGCTCGCATCAGATCCAGGGCGAACCGGGCCATCACCAGCACCACCTCGTTGCTGCTGTTGCCGGCTGTCTGCTGGCCAACGTTGCTGGTGCGCGGGGCACTGGCTATCACATCGCCCTCGTACTGGCCCCGCTCAAGGTCCAGGTCCAGGGCAATGTTGCTGCCATTGCCGTAGGGCACGCGATGGATGCCGTCCGAGTCGGAGCTGCGCGCTCCGTCGTAGCGACTGCGACGACCGTTGGGCATCAGCGAGACGTTGCGGAACTTCATCTGGGGGGCGTTGACCTGCTCGGAGCGGGACACGTCCAGGCCGCAGGCAGCCATATATGTCCAGTTGGCCACCTTGATCTTCTCCACGCGCAGACTCTGCGCATATTGGTTCAGCTAAAGGGAAGATCAGGTAATCAGAGGAATGGACTAAGTCACAGAGAGGTCACATACCACATCATCAAAGTCGCAGATGATCTCGTTCAGCACCCGTAGTCCGATCTTGTCCGTGTCAAAGTTCTTGATGGAGGCAAACATCACGGCCACATTGTCGTACTCCTCGTAGTAGAGCTCGTTCTGCAGCTGCGTCGACAGATAGAAGTCAGCTGGAAGGGAAGGGAAGGGCAGTCCTAGGGATCAGTGCAAGTTTCTACGGTTTACTCCCCCGTGCAGTACTCACCCACGTGCGAGGGCAATATGTTGGTGAGCAGCACTTTGATTGTGTCGTTGGTGATCAGGGCATCTTCCTGCTTCTTCATCAGTTGTCGCTTCCAGCTGAAGGGCAATCAAGGAAGAAGTGACTTATCGATACTTATGGCATCCTGCATCCTCCGAGGATACTCACTTGTAGTCCACCTTGGCTATGAACTCCGTCTGCCGCTCCATCAGATGGAAGATGCCCAGCGTGATGATCATCAGCAGGATGTGCGAGTACTTGGCGTTGAAGTTGACATTGGTGGAGGGGCTGTTGGCGTAGATGTGGTCGAATTCGAATATCACCAGAGCTGCGTACACAATCGTGATGATGGTGGAGAAGCAGGCCTTGATGATGAATGGGATCCGTGTGAACAGGAAGGACATGCCAATGACCAGCGTCATGCAGTTGGTGAGGATCTGAAGGGGGCCTCAAGGAGTGACAAAAGAAGATGACTGAGCGATGACTGAGCGATGACTCACCCAGGGATGGAAGCAGAGTAGCCGATCCTCTATGCTGGGATCGCTGTCCTCGTAGTCCTCGTCCTTGCTGCAGCCCAGCACCTGCATGGCGGCCACAGCGCAGTACGAGAAGATGATCAGGAAGTAGATGACGATGCGCAGAACCACGTTGCGCTGCATCACATCCGACATGTTGAAGAGGCAGGCACTGAGGCGACTCGTGGGCACAGACACCTCCGCGTCGGACACGTACATTATCCAGAGCTTCTTGTACCAGGAGACGATCAGCAGCATGGTCAGCAGGATGATGGTGGTGCCATCGATGAACCAGTAATGGTACCTCGCACTGCAACATGATTGTCGGTTAGACTGGCTGCCCAGAGGGGGGGTAAACTATAGCTCACTCCTTGCTCAGCAGCTGGATGGTCAGCAGGCCCATGTATATCACCCACGAGAGGGCAATGCTGTACTTGAGCATCACGTCCGGCTCCCGCATGTACTGCATCTCCCAGTTGCGGATGCGGAAGAACAGACAGAACGAGCTGATGTTGCGCCGGAAGGTCTCCTCCTCGATCTCGTCCTGGGTGAGGCGAGTGCTGCGCCGGAACACCTTGGTGAGTCTGCAGTAGAGACCAATGACAGACACATTTGATTAAGGGCTGATGAGCGAGGGCGAGAGGCTGAGAGGTTGAGAGGGCGATAGGGCGAGAGCTTACTGTATCCGACCGATGGGCATCTTGTCCAGCTCGCGACACATCTCCAGCTTGGCCTGGTTGCGCACCTGGTTGTACTGGTGCAGCGTGGAGTTGTGCATGAAGTTCGACTTGTTGGCCTCGCTCAGCTTCTTGGCCTGTCGCTCGCGCTGCACGCGTCTCGGATCGTGCATGGGGGCCTACAACTTTCGATTCGATGTAAGGTGTGTGTGTGTGTGTGTGTGCGTGTGCGTGGGAAGCTCTCCCTTGGGGGGCATCGCTGGATCGTACTCACGCGCAGTGACTTGATCAGAAAGCTGCGAATGCCGTGCTTCTGCAGCACGGGATCCTCGCGCGCCTTCTCCGTTCCGTCCTCGAAGAAATACTCGCCGTCCAGCAGGGCGAGCGTCTTCTGGCTGACATGCACGCGCCCGGTGGCCCCAGTAGTCTCCAATCGGTTGGCAATGTCCACGTCCTTGGACCAAATGTCAAACTGCCACTTGGCGGCTCCAATCACCCCCGACAGCACATCGCCAGAGTGCACGCCGATGCGCATGTCAATGTTGAGGTGCCGCTTCTCTCTGGAAGTAGTACAGCAAAGTGGCAAATATTAATACGGGGATCTATGCACATGGTAGCACGCACCTGACGTCCCGTATATCCTTGATCATGCGCAGGCCCAAGTCCACACAGCACTTGGCATGGTCCGCATTGGGACTGACCAGCCCCGCCACGCAGTAGTAGCAGTCGCCCAGGAACTTGATCCGCAGCACATTGTACTCCTCGCTGGCGATGTCGAAGCGCACAAAGAGGTCGTGCAGCGCCTCCACAAGCTTCTTCACATCCAGAGTGGTGGTCAGGTGCGTGTAGTTCACCACGTCGGCATACAGGACAGTCACATCCTCATGGGGCTCAATGAAGAGGGTGCTACAAAGGGGATGATTATATTTATATTGTGAGAAGGGAATGTACTGGGCGTACTTACCCGTGATCTGGCTGTCGCCATCGCTTCAGGTTCTGACTGTCTGTTGTCCGCTGCGTGTCTACGTGGGATCGCTGCTGGTGCTGCTGCTTGGAGCGCTCGATGCGGTTCTTGACATCCTCCTGCAGGCGATCGGCGATCTGGTTGGGCAGGATGCTGAGCAGCAGGCTCCGTTCCTGGTCGCGAGCGTAGCGCAGAAGGAGATTCTCCTCCACGTACTGCCGGCGATCGAGGAAGGTGGTCCGCAGCGCAATGTCCCGCATGAGGCGAAAGAAGATGCCCAGCAGGTTGACGCTGCTCAGGTAGATGGCCTCGTTGAGGATGCTGTGCATCTGGTTGTCCTCCTTCGAGGTGATCACGAATATGTAGTTGATGATGTAGCACACGGTGACGGCGGAGCCGAGCACGAACGGCTGCAGCAGATACGGCACCGGCATGAACATGTAGATGGCGTACAGCGTGTACGCGTCGTAGATGGGATTCAGTATGAAGTTGTGGCTGGTGGCGTGGTACACATTCAGCCCGATGTCCATCAGGACCATCACGCAGACGGCCAGCCACGAGGAGACGTACACCACCCAGCCGTGCTTGCTGACCAGCTCGTTGCGGAAGTTAATCGAGAGGATCAGCCAGATGACCACGCCGGAGGCAATGTAGGCGGCCATGTCCACATACACGTAGCGGATTTCCGGCGTCGTCAGCAGCAGCAGCGTGTGCGTGATGGTCACCTGCAGCTGAATGAAGATGAACAGCGAGAGGTAGCCGACACGCAGCCGTCGCATATACAAATCGTACGACTCCTCCAGCTCCAGATTGCGGCATTTGCGCTACAAAATATGGTGGATTATAGTGCCTGCAGTGATTACTTAGTCGAAATTAGTTGGAATAATCACAAGACTCACCACCAGATACGACCATTCCCAGTTCTTTTCGTTGGAGAAACTCTGCGCCTGCGACTGCGACTCGTTCGAGTGCGCCAGACTAATCGTGTTTGTTCGATTGTGTTCGATGGCCGAATCAAAGTAGGAATTCATGTTTGCATTCGTATCCGTATCCGTCTGGGGCTGGGCATTTTCGTCTGGCTATCCGCAATCCGCAATCAGTTTCAGTCGAATCTATCTGTGGGTACTATCAGATCAAACAATTAAACATTAGCAGTGGCAACTAACCAGCTAACCAGCTAACCAGCTAAACAGTTAACCAGACAGCAAAGCACACACGAAAAAAAAACCAATTGAATCACTCAATGGCTCAATGGGCTGTGTGTGGGCTTATCGGCCGGGGGTCTACCTAAACAGGTGCGAGAGACAGCAGCTCTCGCTCTCGCGCTCTCTTTAGCCCCATCTGTGTCTCACCACGGGATTCGATTTGAGTCTCCCACCCGCCCTAAACAAAGTTTTTGTTGCTGCCAAACACAGCAGCTAATTTAGCAATTTGTCTAATGTGTTGCTGATTGTGTGCTAATGATTTTTAAATCAAACTCACAGACACACAAACACACACACACACACCCTGTCCGCTGTCCGCTGTCCACTGTCCGCTGTCCACTATCAGCTGCAGTTGGACCCCCGTGCTGATCACAAATTTATGGCTATGTAATTCATTTATGGCCCGAGGGCGAGTGCACTTCACTTGCTTTCGTTTGGCAATAAATACGATAATAATTACTGAAAAATTAACACCACTTAAGCGCGTTGCGCTCCGAACAAGCCAATACACAATACACAAGGCGGACAGGTATCACAAATTACTCTTTGGCAAGGGGGCTGCTGATAAGCGGTCGATTGCTGCTCGTTCAGCTTACGCCACTGAGTGATATGTACTACCAGTACCCGTACCCGTACTCGCACTCGTATCCGTACCCGTTTATTTACCTTATAAAGGGAACCGCACGACCAATACGCCAGAACTGCTGCAACCAACTGAGGCACACGGCCTCAGCACACACAACAATCACCTGTCGATAGTTGAGTGCCGAGTGAAGAGTGGGGAGAGAGAGAGCCACTGGCTTATCAGTGTGAAAAGGTTTTTGGATTGAGTTGTTGATTGATGGGCGGTGATGGATGATGCATCCATATCTATTCACTTATTGAATTATGCAGATAAGCAGTTGACGTACGTCAGATAAACAAATTTGTATCGCATGTGAAAAGCACTACTGAAACAATCAGTATAAATTCAAAATTTAAAAAGCGCGCGCAACTTATGCGCGCCAATTCAAATATGAGGAAATACAACCGTGTGTCAGAAAACTGCTCTTGCAGCGCCATCTGCCGTAGAGCGTTGTAAGTGCTAACTAAAAGTAGCCGTGGTTGGCAGCACCGAGCTCAGCTGGTTCATGTAAAAAGGGAAAATTTTGCTGACCTTTGTTAAAATCTTACTTTATAAACAATCCATTAGATGGAAGTCCTTAAAATAGGCCAGATTGTATAAAATTGTTTCATCTATCTGATAAAATGATATTTTCAGTTGTTAAAATCCAAGCTAGCTAGAAATATTACTAATCGAATATACAAATTGATGAATCTATTTTTCCTCGGTATATTTACGGTATATTATGAAACAGAGCAGGTTTATTTCGGTATATTTTTGCGGGTCAGGCGGTATAAATCCGCGGTCACACTGGTGAGATACAAAATTTAACTAAAAAAATAAAAAATTAACTGAACCGAGTGTACTTTGTTAAAATCATTACACCTAAAATTACTTTGCATAATTAAATATCATCGATAATATCATCTTAATCAACAAAACATTGAAATTATCGAAAAGCAACACCGTGCATGCCCTCCACAATAAAACATCGATAGCACCAACCCAACCAAAAAATACCAAAGAAAAAAAAAGGAAATATAATAACCGAGAGAATTATTTTTGTTGTTTTTGTGCGCGTTTTTCTATGCCCACAATCGAAGAATCCGGCCCGTTTATATATATTTAAGAGCTCGCAGATTGCAGATTGCATTGAGTTAGCAGCTGCAATGTCGGCGTTTACGGAGACGGCGCTAATCAAGAAATTGGCGGAGCTCAACAGCAGCCAGCAGAGGTGCAGCACCAATAAAAATAATCGTCGCAATTAATGTGTATAGCAAATCCTGATACCCTCTCTTCTGCTTGCAGCATCCAGACGCTGTCCTTGTGGCTGATTCACCATCGGAAGCATAGTGCAGTTATAGTGAAGACCTGGCAGCGGGAGCTGGAGAGTGGTGGGTAGAATTGGAATCATCCCACTCCCCCTTCCACTACATTCCGTACCTGCTTATATCATTCTCCCCATTTATTTCAGTGCCGGAGCCGAAGAAGCTGACCTTCATGTACCTGGCCAACGATGTCATCCAGAACAGCAAGAAAAAGGGCCCCGAGTACGGCCGGGAGTACAGCAATGTGTTGGGCAAGGTGTTTGCCCACATCGGGGAGAAGTGCAGCTCCGACAAGCTCCTGGGCAGTCTTGGGCGCATCCTCAACATTTGGCTGGAGCGCGGCGTCTACGATGCCAAGGCAATAACCGAGTATCGGGCCCGCTTGCACCGAGAGTCGGCTAGCAGCAAGAATGGCAGCAAATCGAACGACGCCGACGCAGGGGAGCAGCGGGAGAAAGAGCACAGCAGCAGCGGCGGAGGTGCCGGCGGCAGCAGGTCGGAAAAGTCAGAGCGGAGGGAGAAGCGCAAGCACGAGGAGCGACACTCAAAGTCCAAAAAACAGCGACACCATCACCACAGCAGCACCAGCAGTGCTCCAGCAGCACCAGCAGAAGAAGTGGCTGCAGAGCCGGAAAACGGGCACACTCCCCCCTACCTGCCGCTGGGTGAGCCGCCCGAGCCGGAGGAGCTGATCAAGGCACTGACGAGCATAGAGAACTCGGCCTCCAGCGATGCCGATGTGAGGGAACGCATTGCGAAGCTGCCGCAGGAGATATCGGAGATCAGTTGCATCAACAAGCTGGAGGACAAGGACAAGGCGAAGGCCCTGGCCAATCAAGTGCGTGCAATGGAATGGAATATACGAGGAGTACCTAAACGTGTCTTTTCATTGTTTGTAGGTGAACGAGGCAGTGGATTTGCTCAACGATTACAATGCGCGGCTGGCGGCCGAGATGGAGGAGCGCACCAAATTGGCCGCAATGCTGCGCGACTTTCAGGCGGAGCAGAAGGAGCTGTTGGCCCAGGCCGAGACACGACTCGATGTACGTTCCCCTCACATGGGTGGTTTATATAAGAGAGGCAGTTGGAGTGGCTGTCCAACAAGCGAAACGATTAAAATAAGTGAAACTATTTCCATTTGACATTTTACTGATTTATCGAATTGTTGTTGGATCCAGTCACTCATACTGCCAACATTCCCTGCTGATTATCCTGCCCCCGCATGCTACACATGAAGCCCCGAGAGACCTTTCCCTTGGGCCATCTGAATTTGTACAAATTTTATACCTTTTTGCTTTGCATTAAACAAAATTCCAATTGAATCGTCACCGATCACAGATTCCTGTGTGTGTAGTTTGCAAACGAATAATCGAACTATCAAGAAGCCAATGCCTAATGCGCTGTGTCTCTCTCTTTTGCAGGAACACAAGAAGAAGCTGACCAAGATGTTGGGCCTGCAGAAGGAGATACACGATCACCTATCCAACTTGCCGGATCTGACGCAGCTGCCAGATGTCACTGGCGGCCTGGCACCCCTGCCCTCTGCCGGCGATCTCTTCAATGCTCTGCACTGAGCACAGTGATCACGGCTCACGGATCACGGATCACGGATCACGGATCATGGATCGCGGATCATGGATCGAATTGATCGACGAGTAGAGTAGCAGCGTTCGAGTCACTTAACCAGCAACTACTTAAGCCACACACACACACACACACAGCTCCATACATATACATACATATACTGTTTGCATATAATCGTCGTAGCTGTCACCCCCCCCACTCCCCCACTCCAAAGTTGTCACCCACTCCCCCCCTACTGCACCACCACCACCAACCCAGATTATATTGCCCCGATTATTATAATCGCAATTTATATTATATATTGACGGTTGAATACAGAATTCAATTACGAGCAACTTACCGACCAGAACTGCTCTTTTCAGTTCAGTTCAGTGCATCACGTAGTTGGCGGCTCCCTGCCACTTCTCGGTGAAGCCTATGATGTCGGCTATGCCACTGCCCGGAGACATCTTCACGGCCACCGAGAACTTGCTCCAGACGTCGCGATTCACCTGATTGCTCGACGACTGAAAGGTGACTGGCTGACGGCCACGCACCGGAAATCCGCTCAGCAGGCAGGCGACATCGTTGGGTCCGAGGCTGGACTCGTACAGGCCACGATCGTCGGTGGGCAGCTGCTGATCCACCTGCTGGTCCATGCTGACGGCCAGCACCCATTCGCGCACCTCCTCATGCAGGCTCGGCTCGTTCTTCAGGTGAATGTCCTCGGGCAGCGGCACCGAGCTGGGGAAATCGGTGCTGGCCAAATCGGAGTGATCCACCAAGTTGCCAGAGCCCTCCTCGATGGCCTCGCACACGTCCAGGTAGTGGTTGAGCATGACGAACGCCTCCGCCTCGCGTCCAGCCTGCCGCAGATCCATGCCAGCTTCGTAGAAGCCCTTGTCCACCGGCAGGATATCCGTGTGCCGCAGCAGGGCCAACGAGAGGCGCAGGGCCACCGGCTGGAGTGCCTGCACCTCCTTGCAGGCGGCCCTGGTGGCATAGTAGTGTGCAATCCGGAGGAACTGCTCCATGCTGGCCGTAAACTGCGTCTGCGCCTGCTCCGGCGTGGCCCTCAGCGAGTGCAGCAGTCGCTGGAGAAAATCTCGCAACTGGCGCCACAGGGAGCCACCCTCGGACTGCTCCTCCCTCAGGGCCAGACAGTCGAGGGCGATGCGCGTGTAGATGTTGAAGTGCGCCTCGATGGGAGGCGCCCCATAGCTCAGGTAGAGGCCCAGGGCGTTGGTGCAGCTGCCCTCGCGGATGAGCTGGGCCGCGTAGACGGCCACGTACTTTTGCAGCACCGAGGGATTCAGCTGCTTGGCCTTCTCCAGGCAGCGCTGCCACTGGCCCTGCTCCGCGAGCAGATCCAGGGCCGAGATGATGTCAATGTCCGCCAGCTGCTCGACGTTCCCCTCGTGCTTGAGGCACGACTTTTGCTGCTGCTCCACGTAGGCCAGCAGCTGGAGATCCGCGTCGATTTCCTTGGCCAGTCGCCGGGCCTTGCTCCACTGCTCCGTCTTGATGAAGACATCCACCGCCTGCTTGGGCATGTCCGCCGCCAAATACAGCTGTGCCGCCGGGCCAATCTGCTTGATGGCCAGCAGCCGTGGCCCCAGGGCCGTTGCCAGCTCCTGGGCGTCCTGACCCTCCAGAAACTGGTTGCAAATCTCGGCGGCTCGCAGCAGTGCCCGCTCCAGCGTGGCCCCGTCCTCGGCATTGGAGGCATCGATCTGCATGAGGCACTCGGCCGCCTTGCGGAACTGCTCGCGCTTGGCAAACTCCGCGGCGCGCTGCAGATAGGCGCGCGAATCGGTGACGGACTCCTCCCCCGTCTGGGCCAGTCCCCGCTGCAGCTGTGCCTGCAGTCGCCGCAAGTCATTCAGCGCCGAGGGGTAGTGCTCCTCGGCTATCCGGAGGGCGTCCTCGTACAGGGACTCCTGCTTGTAGTGCTCCACGATGAGATCGGGCCGCTGGGCACGCAGCAGCAGCGCCTCGTACTCCTTGTAGTTGCGCGTCTCCAGGGCGGCCGCCGCCTGTCCGATGAGCACCTCGCCGACGACATCCGGCAGATGCTGCTCGGCCACGTTGAGAGCGGCCCGCCAGTCGCCGGCGTGCTGGTACATGAGGATCGCCTCCTTGGGCTTGTGGGCCTTGAGGAACTCCACTTCGGCCGCCTCGAACTTGCCCTCATCCTCGAGCGACATGGCAATCTTCAGATGCACCTCGTCCGTGGGCTTGCCCGCGAAGCGGCACAGCTCCATGGCGAACTCGAACTGTCCCGAGTCGCAGGCGAATCCCACGGCAGTGTCCAGCAGTCCCAGCTTGCTCAGCAGTCGCACGGCGCTCTCCAGGGGCATGGACTTGGCCCACATGTAGGCCACCTGCTGGCTGGCCCCATCCGTGCCCTTCTGCTTGGCCACGCGGTAGCCATCCTCCCACCGGCCCGAGGAGCAGTACATGTGCACGGCCGACTTCCAGTCCCCCGACGCGATGAAGTGCACCTCCGCGTTCTTGAGCTTGCCGCGCGACTCCAGCTGCCGCGCCAGATGCAGATGGGTGCTGTCCAGCAGATCCTTGTGGTGGCGCTCGACCAGTCGGATCATCGAGTCGTACAGCTCGCGCCGCTTGTACATGGCGATGGCCATATCGGGCTCATTGACGGCGATCAGTACCTTCTCCGCGTCCCGGTACTTTCCCTGCTCCTCCAGGGTGCCTGCCATCTGGACGAACAGTTCGCGCAGGTGCTCCGGCTTCAGGTACTTCTCCCCAATCACGTACGCCCGCTCCCACTTGCCGTGGCGGTTGAGCAGCTCGATGGCGTCCCTGTGGAGATTGGCTCGCACCAGCATATCCTCGGCCCCGTCCAGGTCGCCGGCAAAGGCCAGATGCTTCGACAGATCCAGGGCATAGCGCTGTATCAGCTCCGGCTCGTCCAGCACCTTGGCTATCTGCACGGCCTTGCGCCACTGCTTGGCGCCCACCGCCGCCTCCAGGGCCTTCTGCGTGGCGCCCGCCTCGATGTAGTGATTGATGGAGGCGTCCAGCTGCTTGCGACCCACCAGCCAGTCGCCCCACTCCTCCTCCAGCGACGTCACGTCCTGCGGCTCCACGACGCGTGCGAGTTCCAATGCCCGGGCATACGCCCCGCCCTTCCGGTAGAGCGCCAGGGCAGCCTCCGGCCGGGACAGGCGGTGGGCAATGTCGCCGGCCAGCTCGTAGAGCTCGCAGTGCACCAGGCCCTCGGTCACCTGCAGCATCAGCTGCTCGTCCTGCATCAGCTGCGGCGTCTTGAGCGCCAGTCGCGCGGCTCTGGCCGGCTTATTGGCCTTCAGGAACAGCCCCATGGCCTGCTGCAGCTCACCCTGCTCCTCGAGCACTTGGCCCGCCTTCTCCGGCTGCTCGCTGCTCAGCAGGAAATCCATGTGCTGCTGCTTCAGCTCCGCCAGTCGCCCATATCCCCGCCGCTCGGCCAGAGCCACCGCCTCGTCCCACATGCGCAGCTGCTGGTACATCCTCAGGGCCGCCTCTATGTCGCCCTGCTCCAGATATATGCGCTCGGCGGTGCGCAGATCGGACCCCAGGAGAGCCAGCTTGGCGCGCACCTCGGGACAGAGGATGCCCGGCGAGTCGGTGGCCTCCTCGAACGCATCCGCCTGCTGTATCATCGCGGCCAGGTAGAACGCCTTGGACACGTTGCCCAGAGCGGCGTAGCAGCGCTGGGCCACGCGCAGATTGCCGTCTTCGAGGGCGATTATCGCCAGATTGTGCCACATGGCCTTGGCCGCCGGCTTCTCCCCCAGAGACTCCAGAAAGTGAACGGCCCGCCCGAAGTCGCTGTCATTGACGGCGGTGCCGAACTCCACGAGTCCCTCGTCCAGCTGGTAGCTGTGCTCGCTGGGTCCGTCCTGTGAGCGGACCACAGTGCGACCCTAACACAGAAAGCAAAGCAGCAGAAGAGAGAGAGGATTAGACTGGAGGAGGGCTACCAGGATTGCTCTACTTACATTCTCGCGCAGCACTTCGATGGCCTCGCCGCGGACGGTCTGCATGGTGACGTGCTCCGGCAGATCGATGTTGTACCAAATGGCGAGATTGGCGTGGCTCTGGGCCACCACCACATCGCTCTGGGGCACCCACTGCACGAACGAGATGTTGCTGAGGAGCGTCTGCTTCTTGCCCGTGTAGTTGTCCACCAGGACCAGGCGGAGCTTCTTGTCGCGGAACAGCAGCTTGTGGGCCGTCTCGCTGAGCTCGAGCCAGTCGATTTTGGTCTCGTGATTGATCTGGCCGCTGGTCTGGCGACTCACCAGATCCACCACGCAAATGGTCTTGGCGTCCAGCAGGAAGGCCAGCTTCTTGTTCTCCCGCGCATTGCCGCGCTCGTTCAGCCGCACCGAGATCACGTGCGGATTGACAAACTCTGTGCGCACGGAGCCGAGGATGCAGTTGTCGCCGTACTCAACGAGACTCAGTTCGCCCACATTGAAGACCAGACAGACGTTGGGGTTCTCGAAGTAGAAGCGCTCGTGGTGGCCGGAGGCTGTCCAGGGCACTTCGCTGGCCAGATTGCGCGTCAGATCGCAGAGGATCAGCGACTCCTCGGTGCGGGCCACCAGATAGTTGTCCTTGCCCATGATCCGCACATCGTCTATCTCCAGTCCCAGCTGCGACTCGATGGTCAGCTGCTGCGTGGGCTCGGCCAGCGATCGCACCAGCAGCTGGCTGGGCGCCACGAAAATCAGCTCGAACTTGTCCTGCCAGATGGTGCGCTTCAGCACGGACTCGAACAGCAGCACAGCTCCGCTGACGGAGCCGAGGGCGAGCCGTGCGCCATCCCGCCGCCAGAGCAGGGCGCTCAGCGTGTACAGGCAGGCGATCTCCTTGCTGGCGCTCTCGCTCCAGGCCCCCTGGCGCGGACTCCACGCGTAGATGCGTATGCGATCGTAGCTGCCGAAGGCCACGGCCTGCCCATTGGGACTGCAGGCGGCCACCGTGAACTCGCGCTCGCCCTCCGTTCGCGAGTAGTCAAAGGTGCGCAGCTGTCTGCCCTGAAAGTGGAAGAGTACATTAGCAATGGAAGGAACATACAGTGGAATCTCTGTGATATCTTACCATCGTATCGTAGAAGACAATCCGCTGATCGCAGCCGCCGACACAGAAGCCGCCCTGGGGCCAGGCCAGGGCGAAGGGCGGCACCGGATGCTGCACCACTCGGCCGAGCGGCTCGTTGGCCTCGTCCGTCAGAAAGTAACGGATGATGGTGCCATCGTTGTGGCCACTGAGGAAGCCGCTGCCCTTGGTGTTGGCCGCCAGCGAGATGCAGATGCTGTCGCCCCCGTACAGACTCTGCGACTTGTTGCTCTTGCTGTGCAGCGCCCGAATCTTTCCATCTTCGAGGCCTAGACAACACTTGATTAGAGATGGCTCTCAGTGGGATTGGGTTTGGAGATTGTACCTGCTATGATGGCGCCCGAGGAGAGCCAAATGAGAGCCGTCACGGCGCTGGCCTGCGGAAACTTGTTGCAGATGACCTTCTTGTCGTTCCACGACTCCCCCAGCTTGTACACATACACGATGCAGTCGCTCTGGCCGACGGCCAGGCGCGTCGAATCGGGACTGAACGCCAGGCCACGGATCACATACGAGTTCTTGCCATTCGCCGCATTGGCGGGCTTCGTGCTGAACTTGTCGCGTCGCTCGCCGGCATCGTCATACAGCAGGATGTGTCGATCGGCGGTGGCAATGGCCAACTTTTGCTGATTGGGCGACCAGGCCAGGCCCGCAATCCGTTGGATTTGCTCCTGTGGATTCGTAAGGATTCGTTAGAATTATATATATTTATTTTAGTTTTTTTTCCTACAAATGAAAGGCTCACCTGACCCTCCAGCAGTGTTCGCAGATATTTCAATTGCATCCTTTTAGCTCTGAATTCAAGTTGCGAGTATTTATTTGCTTAGTGAATTGATTTCTTGTGAAATGTGTTCTGTAGTTTCCAGCAAATGTTTCCTCTTGTTGTGACTCACGTCAGTTGTTGTGGCAACCAGGAACCCAGCAACACAGTACCCCATCCACTCCAACCACCCCATCCACCCCATCCACCCATCCACCCTCTCTCTCTTGTTCTCTCTCTCGGGAACAGACCTACAAAGAGTTGTATCGTGTTGTAGTCCTTTTTCTTGGCGCTTCCGTTTTGCGCTCACCATTCTAAATAAATGGCCTTTGTTCTGGTATGCAGCAGGTGCCGTGCCGGGCCTGCCACAGGACAGGATGTACGTAGTACGAACGAACGTAGCTGCCTGCTGCCACACGACAGGCTTTCCCGACTGCCTGCAAGGGGCTGGGGGTGCTGCTCATCCTGCTGCTGCTGCTACTTCTCTTGTCGAACACGATGATGACGAGGAAAACGGACAAAGCTGTTGCTGCCTCTGCAGACATCGCTGCTGCTGCTGCGTTGTCCTAGTCCTGGCAGCAGTGCGAGCTCCTCTCCAGCCGCCGTGTGCGCAGGGCCCACACACAGGGAGACCAGACAGAGACAGAGAGAGAGAGAGAGAGAGCCCAATTCATACAGGTGTGCTAGAAACTGAACCAGCAAAGAGAGCGCATGGCATGACCTTGGGGGTGGAGTGAGCCTGAAAATGGCATAAATATTATGGATATTAAAATAGTGCACTGAAATGGTATAAACTGGTAAGGCGACAAATTTACAATTTCCATGATTTTTATGGGGGGTGCCGAGCACAGAGTAACTGTTCTATGTAACTGTTTTATAGGGGATGTGATGCCGAGCAGGGTATAACTGCCTATAACTACCCTTATATACATATATAGGTATATAGCTACCTTATAGCAGGACGGCACAATTACTTATAGCGCAAATCTTTGAAACAACTAAAAGTAAGCAGTTCCATTAAGCCGCCAAACTGCTTGATATATCACCAGCACGCTCTTTGTGAACTGCTTATTGCTTATGATGATACTGCTTCGAATGCTGTCTACTGCTTTCGAATGCTGTCTACTGCTTTTGACTGCTTTCTACTGCTTACATTCCCCAGCTTGCGCTTTTCGGAGTTCTGCCCGTTAAACTTTACCACACCATTTCCCCAACGCATCCTCTCAGCAAAGCTCATGGCGTTGCTCTCTCTCGCAAATACTCCCGCCCGCTCGCCCACGCTATTTCGCGGGACTCTCTCGTGTATGCCATTCGGCAGCAGCTCGTGAAATTCGCGACTCGTGTGCTCATGGGCTCCGTTCGTCGCTTCATCGCCTGCTGTCGTCGTCGGGGCAACATCGTTTGCCTTGGCCAAAGTCAGAGGCAGGATAATGCCGCCGTCGCTGGCATTTCTGCTGCCTGATTATTTTATTTTGTGGCATAGTCTCTCCACTCACAGGGGCCAGGAGCAGAGGCCAAGCCAAGCCAAGCCAAAGCCAAGCCAGCAAGCGCCAGCCTGGCTAATGTATGGCAACGCATTGTGGCAGGTCGCAGCAAGCGCTTCTGTCTGGGATTTTTGGTACCCCCGTACGGGTTCTTGGTTCTTTTGGGATTGGGGATTGGAGCTTGGAGCTTGGGCTTGGTCTTTCGGACGAGTTCCCAGTTGCTGCTGCTGCTGATGCTGCTGCTCTTTGTGTTGGCATCCCTTTAATGAGTTTCATTAATTAAAGCTACTTTGTTGGCACTGCTTGTTCTTTCCGCTTCTCGGATGTCTGTGTGCGTGTGTGAGTGTGTGTGGGGTGTGTGTGTGTGTGTGGGAGTGTGCATGAGTAAACATGCAACATGAATTTTGTCCTTGACTTTTAATGGGTTTATGACAAAAGCGTTACCCAGCCCAACCCCAACCCCCAATCTCCTTCCTAATAGAACATGGCTAATGTGCAGGGCGTTTTCATCTGTCTCTATGTGTGTGTGTGTGAGTGTCCTCCTCATCCTGTATGTGTGTGTGTGTGTGTGTGGGTAAAAGAGTTGTTAAAGCGGAAGTCTGCCGGAAGCTCTTGTGGGTGCCATTTTGGTTCATGTTCCATGCGACGCATGCCATTTTTTTTTATCTCTTTTCCTTTTTGCCCTAAACCATTGCCAGAGACTTTTGTCTCTAAAACTTGGCTGCTGTCGCCCCTTAAGGTTTCCTCTCCTAGTGTCCACCCCGCTGCCCCACAGCTTTCTGGTCTAGTCTGTCATTGTTGCCACGGTTTTGCTTCCTTTGAGATGGCGGTTCGTGTGGCGGCGCTTGCCAGCAGCGTTTGCCTTTGCTTTTGCCGTTGCCGTTGCCTTTGCCGTTGCCTTTGTCGCCTTCTCTTCCTCCTCCTGTTTGGCTGCCGCTGGCGTTGCATTTTTCGCCACTTCCGTATCCGTGGAATGGTCCTGCTTTTGGCCAGTTTAATTTGTCGACTTATAATTTATGGCAGCTCCTGCTCGCGGCTCGAGCAGCCCGCCTCTCAAGATGAGCCGCTCAATTAGGGCGTTTATCAGGTGCCAGGCTAAAAGGAAATGCTTTACGCCATTCGTTTTTTTTTCTCGCGTTCTCTCTCTCTCTCTCCTCGGCTCTCTTGCTCTGGTGAAACTATTTACGGCAACTTTCAGCCAGGCCACAGGAGCTGTTGGCGAGCTAATTCGGCTTTAAGGCAGCAATCTGGTTAAAACTCTCATAGCCGCAACTCAAATCTGGGCATTAGTCCTTGGCGCACTTTCCCCAGCCATGCCATGCCACTGCATGCCTTGCCTTGCCCTGCCATGCAGTGCAAGGCGAAAAACCAAAACTTTTTCCTTCAACTTTGGATCAAACACACACACACACACACATACACATTCTCGTTTGCTCACACTCATACAGTCTCATAGAGTCACTCAGGGGATGCCCCAGACCGTGCGTAGAAACTGCAACAAACTCGTGTACCGAACCGAACAGAACGGGACAGAACGGAACAGAACAGAACAGAACAGAACAGCGAAAGTGCGCGAAAAATAACAGCAGCAGCAGCAGCCGCCGCCGCCACCGCCAGTCGAGTGGGTAGTGGGGGAGTCCGTCCATGGAGGGGGGCATAGGAGAGTAGCAGAGGGATATAGTCGTACCAGTGCGGGGCACGGTGCCGAGTGCTATGCATAATGAATAACATTTTCAAATTAGTTTCCGGTCAGTGGAGATTTTAACGCAGTTTGTCAAGCGCATAAAAGAAAGCCAAGCGCCTGCAGGGTGATTTCACTGAAAACAAGATGAAAGCGAACAGCAGCACGACGCAAAGGTCGAAATTCAAAATGCCATTTGGAGATATTTACGAGGTATTCCAACCCCCCCAGAATATGTAATTGAATGTAATCTGATCGGATCTGTAGGTGGCAAAGCAGAGGCTCGGCTCGGCTCGGCTCCTTGTCTGAACTCTATGGCATTTAAGCTGCTCGAAATTACTTAAAGGGCGTCCGTCCCGGCCCCAGCCCACGCCCACGCCCCCGCATGAGCATATAATTAAATGCTTCTAACGTGCAATCAAAGCGATTTCCATAACAATAATTCCCAGCTACAATGACAGGAGGAGGGGAGCATTGGGAGGTGGTCAATCATTTAACAAGCCCCCCCACAAACGGAAAGCAGAGGGCGTAGGGCCAGGCACAGCTCCTCTGTGTAAGCAAGCATAAAGTGAAAATAGGAAGAAAGAAAAAAATAAGGCAAGTAAAAGCGGAATAATAATGTACATAAATGTCTACAGCTGCCCATTAGGATAGGATGGAATGGAATGGTATTGGATGGGATGGGATGAGATGGAATGGGATGATAGCAACGGAATCATGAACTGGAAATATTCCGCCTGCTGGCGTAATGAAATCAAAATACGAGAATGCCTTCCATTCCCGTCTCAGGACTACGGACTTCCCACTTCCACGTTTATGTCCGTATTCCCATTCCATCCACGTCCAAGTTTTTGTGTGTGAGTGTCTGGCAACAATTTGCGTTAAAAATTGGCACAACAATTGCAAAATAATCACCTTGGAGAGCTGGAGAATTGTGTGCCAGAGAGATGGACTAGTTTGCCTAGTTCCGCTTTACTGCCTCCAAGTTTGAAGCAGAAGCAGCAGCAGCAGCAGCAGGAGTGGGAGCAGTAGTGGGAGTGAAACTAGGAGTGGGATGAACAGAAGCAGAAGCCAACCGAGTGCATCCAGCCAGCAGTGGAGCAGCAGCAGAGCAGCAGCAGAGCTGCAATTCCCTTCTGGTTAGCAGCTTAAAAGCATTAAAACTGCACCCATGGCCAGTCGGATGGGTGCATGGAATATGATGGCTATGCTCGTGGTATACTCCGTACTTCTATCCCCAAACGCATCTATTCAATCGAAAAAATGAAGCAATCGTTTTGATGGCTCACGGGCATCATTTTGCAGAGGCCACAGCAGAGCAGACAACAGCGCCACTGGCCCACTGGTTCACTGGTCCATTGGCCCACTGGCCACAGGCACTTTTAGCCAAATGAAATGTGGCACAATGAACTGTTCTGGCCAAGTGCTTTGGCCCTTTTGGCTCCCGGCTCAACTTATAATTTTCTACCAACGCGACGGAAGATGGATGGTTTGTACGCGATAGGGCCAAGCGTTTGTTCTCCCTTATCTGCCGTGGATGAGCTGCAACATTTTCACGATTCCCTCGACAAAGTTTAAGCGCCAATGCCCAAACTTTGGCCAATTACGTGATTAACAAATGCTTTGGGCGCCCAGTCCCCCCCCCCCCAATTAAAGATGTAATTAAAAGAGCCTCGCTCCCGCCTCATAAATGTTTATCCGAGTGCCCGTTTGCAGTTCATCTGATCGTGGCCATAACTTATTCATAACCACATTGTGGCCAGCCCGGAAATGAACGATGCTGGCCAGAGGCACAGCCAAACAGCACACCAAAAGATATCTCGTACATAACAAATAAGAGAAAAAAAACTAAACCCAAAAGTCAATGTCTGGACACAATTGGATAAAACCTTTTTGTGCCCTTTGAGA